CCCCCCCCCGCCTATAAAATGAGTACAGCGGCTTTTTCCCATATCCTAAACCCGGGAGGGTTTAGGATATGGGAAATTTGGGCGCTTGGCAAACAGCAAAATTTGGGCGCTTGGCAAACAGCATGTATCTAGGACCGTTGCAGCCTTCCGGTGTCATATGATTGCTGTTTGTGACTTTGTTATGCAGCATCAGACACGCAAACTCAACGGGAGAAACCAGATTCACTTCAACAACTGTGCAGTTTACTTAACACCTGCAATTATTTGCTTAACAACCATGGCCAAAAATGATGTAAAATTGGGTGCGACTTAACAACCGCCTTGTTTAACAGCAGAAACTGGGGTCCCGATTGTGATTGTAAGTTGAGGACCACCTGTATGAAGGACCCCTTAGTGGTAGAGGCTGTGACCCTCCAGTCCCTCCTTGTGAACTTTGTGGATTCCTTTGGCATTCTATTGTGTGACTCCAAAAGCATGAATCATTTGCAGAATTCCTGTTACAGAATTAGGTACTTAAAAGATCAGGAAGTGCTTTGCAGGACCTTAGAAAGTCCTTGTAGGAAAAAAAAACCACTAGATTACCTCATGTTTGAAAGCTTCATTATATCCTTGCTGTTTTTTGTTTAGGAGTGTGTAAATTCTCCAGTTTCGTGCAGGTGTCGTGTAACCATGCTCTAAGGACAGTTTGAATCTATATTCTTTCTCCAATCACTCGAAGAATTCTCCAGTTTGCGATGGTGAAGGGGGCAAGCTGAGTGTGACTCAGTTTGAAAGTAAACCTGTTGTGTTTATTTGTAAGGCCGGTTCCCTGATCTGCAGGTGGCTTGTAATATTTGCAGATGGAGGTGCCTGGAAGATCAGATCAGATCGAGTTAACATACTGTATGTGACAAAATCATAAAGAGGAATCCGTTTTGTATTGCAGTGTTTCAGCTCAAAAACCTCTTTTGTGCACAAATCCAAAGGTGCCACTTGTGGAAAGATCTCGCCATTCCTTTCAGCAAGTGGACTGTGGACTTCCAATTCCCAGAATTCCCTAGCCAGCTCACTGGAGAATTCTGGGAGTTGAAGTCCATAGATCCTGACAATTGATTCTTAAATATAAACATAGCAATTAGTTGCAATTATCCATTACGAGAGGCAGTTTTTTTCATTTTTGCTGATGCTACTCTAATACATAGTTGATTCTAGCTTTTTTATTTGAGAACAAAATGAAGAATTCATCAAATCTGTTAAGAATTAAGCCACCAAACACTCCATGATGTTTGCATTTTTCCTTTCTTGTTGTAGTATAACAGAGTTTGGATCCCTGATGCTGAAGAGGTTTGGCAGTCGGCGGAAATTACAGCTAATTATAGGTCTGGAGACCATATTCTTCACCTCCAGCTGGAAGACAGCACAGTGAGAATAAAGAATTGATGTTTTCAAACAAGCAGTGGTAGACTGGCAACACATTAAAATATTATTAAAACATTAGCTTATCCATTGGATCTGGTTTTGCATTTGACAAATTCCATCCTAGTTCTTATGGAGTTGACAAACCAGAACCCCTCTTCTTTGGGGCAGCCCCTCAAATATTGGAAGGCTGCTATCATGTCACACCTAGTGGTTTTTTCCATGAAACCAGACATACCCAATTCATGCAACCGTTCGGTCCCTTAATCTTCTTTGTTGCTCTTCTCTGCACTCTTTCTAGAGTCTCAGCATCTTTTTTACATCATGGTGACCAAAACTGGATGCAGTATTCCAAGTGTGGCATTACCAAGGCATTGTAAAGTGGTATTAACACTTCTGGTGATCTTGATTCTATCCCTCTGTTAATGCAGCCTAGCACTGTGTTGGCTTTTTTGGCAGCTGCAGCTGGCTCCTATTTAAGGGATGGTCCACTAGGACTCCAAGATCCCTCTCACAGTTACCACCATTGGCCAGGTATCACCTATACTATACTTGTATAGTATACTTAGTTCTATACCTAGAACTAACGAGAAGGAAGGACTCACTGGAGAAGAGCCTAATGCTGGGAAAGATGGAGGGCAAGAGAAGAAGGGGACGACAGAGAATGAGGTGGCTGGAGGGAGTCACTGAAGCAGTAGGCGTGAGCTTAAATGGACTCCAGAAGATGGTAGAGGACAGGAAGGCCTGGAGGAACGTTGTCCATGGGGTCGTGATGGGTCAGACACGACTTCGCAACTAACAAAAACAACATACCTAGAACTTATGATGAAAAGAAGGACTAGGGGTGACATGATAGCAGTGTTTCAATATCTCAGGGGTTGCCACAAAGAAGAGGGAGTCAAGCTATTTTCTAAAGCACCAGAGGGCAGGACAAGAAGCAATGGTTGGAAACTAATCAAGGAGAGAAGCAAGAAGAAATTTCCTGACAAAACAATTAATCAGTGGAACAACTTGCCTCCAGAAGTTGTGGGTGCGCCAATAGTGGAATTTTTAAAAAACATATTAGCAACCATTTGTCTGAAATGGTATAGGGTTTGCTGCCTGAGTAGGGGGTTGGACTAGAAGATCTCCAAGATCCTTCCCAACTCTGTTATACTGTATCTTGTAATATTATGTTTTACTTGGCTTACTCACAGGAGCTGGATTACCTCGTGGATCCTAGTGCTTTGCCACCTTTACGAAATCCGGATATTCTTGTTGGAGAAAATGACCTCACAGCTCTTAGTTATCTCCACGAACCGGCCGTTTTGCACAACCTTAGAGTTCGCTTTGTGGAGTCCAGGCTGATCTACACCTATAGCGGTAAACACTATGGGTCGACCCACATTGCATTTGTGTTTCTCAAGAAAGCACGATGCAGCTCATACTTCTGTACTATGTGTCATCCCCAGGGATAATTTTGGTCGCCATGAACCCTTACAAAGAGCTGCCAATTTACGGGGATGCCATCATTCATGCTTATAGTGGTCAAAATATGGGAGACATGGATCCCCATATCTTTGCGGTGGCGGAAGAGGCTTACAAGCAAATGGCAAGGTATGTTCTCATCAGTGTCCTGGGATTAACTTTGGCAAAGGTTGGCATCTATCTGCCCCACCCTTTGAAGGATGTAAAAAGAGACTCTTAGAGTCAATAAGAGATTATGGAAGGAGGTGTAGGAGATGACTAGGCAGAGCCCAAAGGCGGGGTCAAACACGTCATCAGTTTGGAATCCTTATTATGCAGTCACAAGTCCAGCCCCCTGTGAATTCTGTTGACTCTTATCTAGCACCAATTTGCTTTGACCGTTAGTAGTGTATAGGTAGCATGGACAGCTAATCCTCATGTTACGACTACAATTGAGCCCAACATTTATCTTGCTAAGTGAAACATTTGTTAAGTGAATTTTGACCCATTTTACAACCTGACCACAATTGTTAAGTGGATCATTGCATTTGTGAATCTGGATTCCCCGATGACTTTGCTCAGAAGGTCGCAAAATATGATCACTTGACCCCAGGGCACTGCAACCATCTTAAATATGAACCTGTTGCCAAGCCTCTGAATTCTGATCACATGTCCATGGAGATGCTGTGTGAGAAATGGTCATGAGTCCCTTTTTTTCAGTGCCGTTGTAACTTTGAACAGTCACTAAATGAACGGTTGTAAGTTGAGGATTACCTGCAATAATCTTTAAGTGCTTTGAACTCAATTCCTATTCCTGGTTACTTGCACCTGAGAGGAGATAAGGAAGGAATTAGTCTCTGATAGCCAAAAATCAGGAGTCTGATAGCACATTTTCAGATAATAAAATTTAGAAAAGTTAGAACAATTAACCAGTGGAATTCCTTGCCTCCAGAAGCAGTGAATACTCCAACACTGGAACTTTTTAAGAAGAGACTGGACAGCCATTTGTCTGGAATGGTATAGGCTTTCCTGCCTGAGCAGGGGGTTGGACTAGATCAGGGGTAGGCAATCTTGGCTCTTTTTATGACTCATGGACTTCAACTCCCCTGGACTAGATGACCTCCAAGGTCCCTTCCAACATTACTACTACTACTACTACTACTACTACTACTACTACTACTACTACTACTACTATTATTATTATTATTATTATTATTATTATTAAATTTGTTAAAAGACTCAAACTGTGGTTAGATGCAACTCGCTTCATCAGGAGTGGACAGATTTTGTGCAAAAGAATTCATGGCAGAAGTTGGACATCTCAAGTCCAAACAAGAACAAAATAATATCTTCAGCCTTTGAGAACTCTCTCTGGCAGATCTCAAAGGGACCGTTTGCAGAAATGAGGTTTTATCAGCACGATGGAGTTATGGCACTTAATTTCCAGCAGAAGATTTCAGGTCATCCCAGGCTAACACAATGAGTTTTTCACACATAACAGTTGTGAACTGAAAAAGTACATCTGTCTCACACATAACCTGTGTTTTCATCACCAGCCCGCCTTCTGTCCTTTATCCTTGTCTTACCCCAATTTAAATCTCATGTCAGTGTCAACTTCCAGCTTGAGAATCCAAATAAAAACTCCAGGTTCATTCATTTCCGAAAAACTTACTTTATTGAATACATGGCCTGGTAATGTCAAAGCAAAACTAACTCTGAGACCGATTCATAGAATTAAACAATAATTTCTTCTGCCAAACATCCACCCTTCTCATGTAGTCCATGTAAAGAATTTCACTTTGTTATGGGAACCATCTCCATCTAACCCATTCTAAAGCAACACCTCCTCTGCCTTACTCTAATGGCAAGTTGAAACAAAGAGGCACGTAGCTGCCAAAGTTTAATGCCTAAAATTTGTGAGTAGAAAATAAAAACTACTAGACACCTCCTGAGTCAGTAAAGTGATCCCGCAAGATTTTCATTTATTTTTTGGAGCAAAACCATTTTTTAGATTTCTATTAGTCACGCTGAAATATCTTTGTATCATTATGATACCACCTTAGACCAACATTGGAATCTAATGTAAAAGAAACTTAGTGACATTTTAAGAGATGTATATTTTCTAATTTTCTTACTTTGATGATGATGGTGATGATGATTTTTCTCTAGGAACGACCGAAATCAATCGATTATTGTAAGTGGGGAATCGGGAGCGGGCAAAACAGTTTCTGCTCGATACGCCATGAGATATTTTGCGACAGTCAGCAAATCTAGCAGCAACGCTAAAGTCGAGGATAAAGTGTTGGCGTGCAATCCGATAACAGAGGTAAATTTATTTTATTATTAGAATTTTATTTTATCATTATTACTTTATAGGAAACTCAAGACGGTGAACATATTGATACTCATCCCTCCTCCTATTTTCCCAACAACAAACCTGTGAAGTGATTTGGGCTAAGAGAGACGGTGATTGGCCCAGATTCTCCCAGCCAGCTTTTCATGCCTAAAGTGGAACTAGAACTCACTGTCTCCTGGTGATTGGCTCAAAGTCACCTAGCTGGCTTTCATGTCTAAGGCAGGACTAGAACTCACAGTCTCCTGGTGATTGGCCCAAATTCTCCCAGCCAGATTTTCATGCCTAAAGTGGAACTAGAACTCACTGTCTCCTGGTGATTGGCCCAAAGTCACCTAGCTGGTTTTCATGCATAAGGCAGGACTAGAACTCACAATCTCTTGGTTTCTAAACCAGCACCTTAACCAATAGACCAGACTGGTTCCCTAAATGTTTCCTAACTGAATCATCTAATAGAAATAGCCACTTACCATCTAAAATGATTCTATCTTTTTTGCAGGCGATTGGAAATGCTAAAACTACTCGCAACGACAACAGCAGTCGCTTTGGAAAATACATGGAAATCAGTTTCGATAAGAAGTACCAGATCATTGGGGCAAATATGAGAACATACCTGCTCGAGAAATCCAGAGTTGTTTTTCAGGTTAGTAAAAATTTGCAGTGAAACCAGTGCATTTCTACTAACTTGAGACACAGCAATTCTTCTTGCCTTCTACAGACTCTCTCCAGGTTTTAGTCTAGCCGCCCAGCTGCTCATGAGCAATGTTGTTTCAGAGAGGAAATTAAAAAACTTTTAAAATTAAAAGTTTTTTTTAAATTGTTTCTCCACATAAACATATGTGTTTCTTCACGTATTTATTTATATTCACTTTTTAAAAATTCAAAGGGTAAAAGACAAAACAAGAAGGGTGGGAAGGATGGATGGATGGATGGATGGATGGATGAAAAAAGAGAAGGGAAGAAACCTATAAGACAGTGATGGCGAACCTATGGCACAGGTGCCAGAGGCGGCACCCAGAGCCCTCTCTGTGGGCACGCGCGCCATCGCCCCAGTCCTAGGCCTGCAGCTGGGTTTTATAAAACCTTTTTGCTTTAGGCCTCTGCCGCCGTGTGCAAAAAAAAAAGGTTCAATCAATCAGTCAATTTCAACTTCTCGTGGGAAAAAAAAAGATCTTGCAAAGTTGGAATTGATTGATCGAACTTTTTAGTCCCACCCAGTCTGCTGTTACCACCACAGCCACACCCACCCAATCAGCCACACCCACCCAATGGGCCACACCCACCCGGCATAAGTGGGTTTTGGGTTGCAGTTTGGGCACTTAGTCTCTAAAAGGTTCGCCATCACTGCTATAAGAAATATAATGACATTTGACCTTCTTTTCCACAGATAGTTATAATTTTATAGTTCCTCCCTCCTCTTAGATAATATATAGGTCCCTTCAGCCCTTCATTTCATTTACATCTTCCTTAATCTTCCAATCCATAAATCAACATTTCATTTCTGTCAGCAAAAACGTCTGAACTGTTCCTACTTTTATCTTTCTTTTCCTTTCATTTGCAGTCAGAAAATGAAAGAAATTACCACATATTCTATCAGCTATGTGCATCGGCTCCGAGAGCAGAATTTAAGCATCTTCAGCTAGGTATGTTGCATATCACCTGACAGATTGATCTCTTTTATTGCTTTATTATAGTTGGGTGCATAATTCGCAGAGGAAGCTCCTTTTCCACAAAGGTTCAATTATTTCTCACTGTTAATCTCAAAAGTCTCATTTCACACACACACCCCTCAAACCTTTACAATACTTGGCTACCGACCCATCCCTAGGAGTCTGTTGTCTTCATAGTCAGCATATCTGGTGACCTGTTTGCTTTCCACCTGCAGCAAGTGCTGAAGAATTTAATTATACCAACATGGGTAGAAACATCGCCATTGAAGGAGTGAATGACCTGGCCGACATGAAAGAAACTCAAAAAACGTTCAGCCTGCTAGGTAAGATCAATCAAGTTGGCTGTTAAAGAAAAAAAAACAGCAAAATTCTAATATTTATGAAATGCTGGTGGATCCTTTAGTTCAGTAGTTTTCAACCTTTTTAATGCCGCGACCCCAACCGGTCATAAGTCGAGGACTACCCAACCGGTCGTAAGTTGAGGACTTTCCCTGCCCGGGAGCGCCGCACATGCGTGGTTCCGCCCCCTGCGCCGGCCGAGGTGTAGCTGGCAAGCGGCAGAGACGGAGCAGGCCAACCACCAGTTGGCCCAGCCCAAGGGAGGTAAGGCACCCGCTGGAAAAGGGGAAAAAAATGGCGGACAGCCTTGCTTGGCGACCCCCGTGAAATGGTCGATCGACCCCAAATGGGGTCCCGACCCACAGGTTGAGAACCACTGCTTTAGTTTCTGATAGCTTGGCAAAAATTTGGCATGCTATCCAATGTACCCTTTTTACGTTAAAAAAAAAGGTAGAGGTTTCCCTGTCCAGTCGCGTCCGACTCTAGGGCACGTGCTCATGTCTGTTTCTTGAGTGAGGGACACAGCCTTGTCGAAAGACGGTTTCTGTGGCCATGTGGTCAGCATGACTATACACCAAAGGCTCACGAAACACTGTTATCTTCCCACTGAAGTGGTACCTATTTATCTACTCTCATTTGATTGCTTTCAAATTACTAGCTAGGCAGGAGCTGGAGCAAGGAACGGGAGCTCACCCCATTGTGTAGTGTTCGGGTCCCGAACACGGGCTGTTAGCTTTCTAGGTGACAATCTCAGCATCTTTAACCACTCAGCCATCGTGCCCCATCCTTTTTAGGAGTCACTGAACTTAGTGGGTATCCATCAAATCACAATGTTGATGTAAAAATTAATTGTAATGTTAACATCAGGGTGGAAGATCATTTTTGCTCATTTTTCGTTGCAGGCCTTAAGGAAGATTTCCAGATGAATGTTTTTAAAATACTCTCCGCTATTCTTCATTTAGGCAATGTACAGATCCATGCTGCTGGCGATGAAAAGTCTTTTGTTAATGTAAGATTTCCTGGCAGGATGTTTTAATGGACAATGCAAGGTTTTGATATGTTTTTTTCCCCTAAATTCCCTTCATCTTTGGCTTGTAGGAAGTACCTTGCTGGCTGGGGAATTCTGGGAGTTGAGGTCCACACATCTTAAAGTTGCCAAGGTTAAGAAAAAACTGCTCTAATGATTATTCTCCATCCCATAACAGATCTAGAGGAGGAAATTGAAAATTCTGCAGTTAAATTCTGCTGAGTTGGCACTCAATTTCAGGATTGTGAAAACCTTGGGATAATAATAATAATAATAATAATAATAATAATAATAATAATAATAATAAAGTTGGAAGGGACCTTGGAGGTCATCTAGTCCAACCCCCTGCTCAGGCAGGAAACCCTATACTATTTCAGACAAATGACTGTTCAGTCTCTTAAAAACTTCCAGTGTTGGAGCATGCACCACTTCTGGAGGCAGGTTGTTCCACTGGTTAATTGTTCTAACTGTCAGGAAGTTTCTCCTTAGTTCTAGGTTGCTTCTCTCCTTGATGCGTTTCCATCTGTTGCTTCTTGTCCTGCCTTCAGGCACTTTGGAGAATAGCTTGACTCCCTCTTCTTTGGGGCAGCCCCTGAGATATTGGAACACTGCTATCATGTCCCCCCTCGTCCTTCTCTTCGTTAAACTAGACATACCCAATTCCAGGAACCGTTCCTCATATGTTTTAGCCTCCAGTGCCCTAATCATCTTTGTTGCTCTTCTCTGTACTCTTTCTAGACTTCTAGGGATATTCTAGGGATATACTTTAGTACAGTGCTTGTCCACCTTGGCAAGTTGAAGATGAGTGGACTTCAACTCCCAGAATTCCTCAGCCTGACTGGGACTTCAACTCCCAGAATTCTCCATGCTGACTGTGGAATTCTGGGAGTTGATGTCCACTCATCTTAAAATGGCAGACAAACACAGTTCTAGGAAGTAGAACTGGAAAAGTAGGAATATCAAGTTACCCGTGGTATGTTAAAAAATGTATTGCATTTTGAAGGAGTAGCAATTTTGGCAATTGCAGTGCCTGGTGACAATAGGTTTCTTCTTGCTGCAGGTGGATGACAAACATCTTACTATATTTTGTAAACTCCTGGGAGTTGAAAGTGATAAAATAGCTCAGTGGCTTTGTCACAGGAAAATTATTACTACCTCTGAAACCGTAGTAAAGCCAATGACGAAACTCCAAGCTGTAAACGCCCGGGATGCTTTGGCAAAGAAGATTTATTCTCATCTTTTTGATTTCATTGTGGAACAAATTAACAAGGCCTTGCAGTTTTCAGGCAAACAACATACCTTTATTGGTGTTCTGGACATTTATGGGTAAGGTGACCTATTTTTCAGAAATAACTCAGACTCTGTACTAAATCCTCTCTTGTATGGGTAGACCCATACAGTCTAAAATATTTTTTTCCAGTCTAAAAATTAAAACTTTCTACCATTTATTTCAGATTTGAAACTTTTGATCTGAATAGCTTTGAACAGTTTTGCATCNACCTTTTCGCTTTAGGCCTCTGCTGCCGTGTGCAAAAAAAAAAAAGGTTCAATCAATCAGTCAATTTCAACTTCTCGTGGGAAAAAAAAAGATCTTGCAAAGTTGGAATTGATTGATTGAACTTTTTAGTCCCACCCAGTCTGCCATTACCACCGCAGCCACACCCACCCAATGGGCCACACCCACCAGGCACTCGATGATGCATAAGTGGGTTTTGGGTTGCAGTTTGGGCACTTGGTCTCTAAAAGGTTCGCCATCACTGCTATAAGAAATATAATGACATTTGACCTTCTTTTCCACAGATAGTTATAATTTTATAGTTCCTCCTTCCTCTTAGATAATATATAGGTCCCTTCAGCCCTTCATTTCATCTACATCTTCCTTAATCTTCCAATCCATAAATCAACATTTCATTTCTGTCAGCAAAACGTCTGAACTGTTCCTACTTTTATCTTTATTTTCCTTTCATTTGCAGTCAGAAAATGAAAGAAATTACCACATATTCTATCAGCTGTGTGCATTGGCTCAGAGACCAGAATTTAAGCATCTTCAGCTAGGTATGTTACATATCACCTTACAGATTGATCTCTTTTATTGCTTTATTATAGTTGGGTGCATAATTCGCAGAGGAAGCTCCTTTTCCACAAAAGTTCTATTATTTCTCACTGTTAATCTCAAAAGTCTCATTTCACACACACACCCCTCAAACCTTTACAATACTTGGCTACCGACCCATCCCTAGGAGTCTGTTGTCTTCATAGTCAGCATATCTGGTGACCTGTTTGCTTTCCACTTGCAGCAAGTGCTCAAGAATTTAATTATACCAACATGGGTAGAAACATCGCCATTGAAGGAGTGAATGACCTGGCCGACATGAAAGAAACTCAAAAAACGTTCAGCCTGCTAGGTAAGATCAATCAAGTTGGCTGTTAAAGAAAAAAACAACAGCAAAATTCTAATATTTATGAAATGCTGGTGGATCCTTTAGTTTCTGATAGCTTGGCAAAAATTTGGCATGCTATCCAATGTACCCTTTTTACGTAAAAAAAAAAAAGGTAGAGGTTTCCCTGTCCAGTCGCGTCTGACTCTAGGGCACGTGCTCATGTCTGTTTCTTGAGTGAGGGACACAGCCTTGTTGAAAGACGGTTTCTGTGGCCATGTGGCCAGCATGACTATACGCCAAAGGCTCACGAAACACTGTTATCTTCCCACTGAAGTGGTACCTATTTATCTACTCTCATTTGATTGCTTTCAAATTACTAGCTAGGCAGGAGCTGGAGCAAGGAATGGGAGCTCACCCCATTGTGTAGTGCTCGGGTCCCGAACACGGGCTGTTAGCTTTCTAGGTGACAATCTCAGCATCTTTAACCACTCAGCCATCGTGCCTCATCCTTTTTAGGAGTCACTGAACTTAGTGGGTATCCATCAAATCACAATGTTGATGTAAAAATTAATTGTAATGTTAACATCAGGGTGGAAGATCATTTTTGCTCATTTTTCGTTGCAGGCCTTAAGGAAGATTTCCAGATGAATGTTTTTAAAATACTCTCCGCTATTCTTCATTTAGGCAATGTACAGATCCATGCTGCTGGCGATGAAAAGTCTTTTGTTAATGTAAGATTTCCTGGCAGGATGTTTTAATGGACAATGCAAGGTTTTGATATGTTTTTCCCTAAGTTCCCTTAATCTTTGGCCTGTAGGAAGTACCTTGCTGTCTGGGGAATTCTGGGAGTTGAGGTCCACACATCTTAAAGTTGCCAAGGTTAAGAAAAAACTGCTCTAATGATTATTCTCCATCCCATAACAGATCTAGAGGAGGAAATTGAAAATTCTGCAGTTAAATTCTGCTGAGTTGGCACTCAATTTCAAGATTGTGAAAACCTTGGGATAATAATAATAATAATGATAATGATAATGATAATGATAAAGTTGGAAGGGACCTTGGAGGTCATCTAGTCCAACCCCCTGCTCAGGCAGGAAACCCTATACTATTTCAGACAAATGGCTGTCCAGTCTCTTAAAAACTTCCAGTGTTGGAGGATGCACCACTTCTGGAGGCAGGTTGTTCCACTGGTTAATTGTTCTAACTGTCAGGAAGTTTCTCCTTAGTTCTAGGTTGCTTCTCTCCTTGATTAGTTTCCATCCGTTGCTTCTTGTCCTGCCTTCAGGCGCCTTGGAAAATAGCTTGACTGCCCCTTCTTTGGGGCAGCCCCTAAGATATTGGAAGACTGCTATCATGTCCCCCCTCATCCTTCTCTTTGTTAAACTAGACATACCCAATTCCAGCAACCTTTCCTTATATGCTTTAGCCTCCAATCCCCTAATCATCTTTGTTGCTCTTCTCTGTATTCTTTCTAGATTTCTAGGGATATTCTAGGGATATACTTTAGTACAGTGCTTGTCCACCTTGGCAAGTTGACGATGAGTGGACTTCAACTCCCAGAATTCCTCAGCCTGACTGGGACTTCAACTCCCAGAATTCTCCATGCTGACTGGGGAATTCTGGGAGTTGATGTCCACTCATCTTAAAATGGCAGACAAACACTGTTCTAGGAAGTAGAACTGGAAAAGTAGGAGTATCAAGTGACCCATTGTATGTTAAAAAATGTATTGCATTTTGAAGGAGTTTTGGCGATTGCAGTGCCCAGTGACAATAGGTTTCTTCTTGCTGCAGGTGGATGACAAACATCTTACTATATTTTGTAAACTCCTGGGAGTTGAAAGTGATAAAATAGCTCAGTGGCTTTGTCACAGGAAAATTATTACTACCTCTGAAACCGTAGTAAAGCCAATGACGAAACTCCAAGCTGTAAACGCCCGGGATGCTTTGGCAAAGAAGATTTATTCTCATCTTTTTGATTTCATTGTGGAACAAATTAACAAGGCCTTGCAGTTTTCAGGCAAACAACATTCCTTTATTGGTGTTCTGGACATTTATGGGTAAGGTGACCTATTTTTCAGAAATAACTCAGACTCTGTACTAAATCCTCTCTTGTATGGGTAGACCCATACAGTCTAAAATATTTTTTTCCAGTCTAAAAATTAAAACTTTCTACCATTTATTTCAGATTTGAAACTTTTGATCTGAATAGCTTTGAACAGTTTTGCATCAACTATGCCAATGAAAAATTACAGCAACAATTTAACCTGGTATGGTCTTTTTTTTTTTATGGATTTCCATCATTTTGGATTAAAATTTGTGCTGTGTTGATATTCCAGAAAAAAAATATTCTCTTAGTTTTGGCAGTAAAACTCAATGGTTAAATGTTTTGGTACCTTAAAAAAAATATACATTGATGTGTAGAATTCCTAAAAGGCCCCGTACAGAGTTGCTTGCATGTAAGCAAGTACATGTAAAAGTACAGCTTCAGTGGCTATGATTATGGAAGTCTAAGCCAGACTCATTGGAGAAGAGCCTAATGCTGGGAAAGATGGAGGGCAATAGAAGAAGGGGATGAAAGAGAATGAGATGGCTGGATGGAGTCACTGAAGCAGTAGGTGTGAGCTTCAATGGACTCCAGAAGATGGTAGAGGACAGCAAGGCCTGGAGGAACGCTTGATTATCCTGAGCTAGTGAGAAGTTGAAAGCAAGCAACTAAGTAATCTTTTGTAACATGTTCTAAATAGGACAATCTTCAGAAGCCCCAATGAATATGGGCAAAGAGACCATAATTTTTCAGCCAGGTGTACTGAAGAGAGATGTACTGTAGATTTGTTTATTTTAGCCGAAGAGGGAAAAAAAGTAAAATGTAATTTGGGAACTAGAATGGAGTAGTAAGGTACATCAGTCATAGCTGAATGAGGAGAACGTGGTCTTATGAAGAGTGTAGCTCAGAGGAAGATGGAGAACATAAGTCTTAAAATCTGGTATCTGTGAAAGTTGACAGTTGGGAACATCATGAATTGAGAGGAACAAGGAGCCATTTCTTTGAGACTTGGAGCGGATAAGTAACATCTTTATATCATCTCCAGCCTTACATTCAATCAGGATATTAGATTGGATACTTCTATCATGATGTGTTGATGTTTAACGTCTCTCCTCTTTTGACCCTCCAAAGGACTTCAGTATTGTTAAGCAACATTGTGTTTTGGTGTGGCTCATGAAACAAATGACTTTAATTGTGAGACGAAATTGTCAATATTTTTTTAGCATGTCTTTAAACTTGAACAAGAAGAATACATGAAAGAAAATATCCCGTGGACGTTAATTGATTTTTATGACAATCAACCTGTCATCGATCTGATTGAAGCTAAAATGGGCATTCTAGAACTTTTAGATGAAGAGTGCCTGGTAAGTTTCAACGTTTTAATTTCACAAACCCAATCTAGCCTCCCATCCTTCCCCCCCCCTTAATTTTCTTAAATATCCTTGCAAAAGGCAGTTTTGCAATTTGGCCATTTTAATAGTTTCTTTAAGCTATTTATGTACGTGCAATTTCCCATCACAGCAGGGTGCTAAATATACTTGAAACTAGCAACTCAAAGCCAGGAAGGTGTCTCTTAAGCAGAGATGCAGAGATTTTGGCTAAATTTTGGAGAATTTGCATCTGAGCCAAAAAAATAATAATAATGTCTTAGATTGGTGAATCAAGCCAGAATCAAAAGCTTTATTGTAGCGTGTGTTAACTGAGTTAACTGAGTTAATTGTTAACTGAGTTTGGTAACTCTGGCTAAGCCTGATCACTTCAGGATGAGGATAGTGAAATATAGCAGCAACAGATGTTCCTCCCCGTGGGAAGCTATCAACAAGTTATTTTTGGATATTGAATTAAATAGCTATACCTTGTTTGTTAAGTGGTGGCTCAGCCATTTGGTTAACCATGATGCAAAATGTCTGGGCTTATCAGAAGTCTGAATCCATCCTGAGAGAAGGATAGGGGTTCTCCAGATTGCAACCCATCTTGCATTATAGAACAAGAAATCCAATATTGTTGCATAGGAAAAAGTAGGAGGGAACATTGTACAGAATAGAAATAGAAATAGAAATAGAAATAATAAAAATAGAAATAGAAATAGAAGCTGGAAGGGACCTTGGAGGTCTTCTAGTCCAGCCCCTGCTCAAGCAGGAGAACCTATACCATCTCAGACAGGTTGTACAAAAGAATAGGGTTATTCAACCAATCAACCAAACCTTTTGCTAATTTAATAAGTATTTTCTTTATCACTTTTCATTTTAAATATGCCATTTTTGCTCTTTTTTTTCAAAACAGCTACCTCAAGGAACAGATGAAAATTGGCTCCAGAAGCTATATAATAATTTTATAAACAAGAACCCTCTCTTTGAAAAGCCAAGAATGTCAAATACTTCTTTTATCATCCAGCACTTTGCAGATAAGGTAAGTTGTTCAATGGGGGAAAGAAACGACACCCTTCTATTTCCTAGAATAAAGCTTCAGCCTTTGTCATGATTTATTCACCTATGTGGAATTAATAATGTATCTCCTATCCAAAAAAAGAGATGTTGTTTCTATAAACACGGACATGATTTAAAAGGAGTGAGCGATATCAGCTTCAGAAACAATTTTGCCAATGAGTCATTTTGATTTCTGCAGAAGCTTCTCATTTTAGTCCAAACATGCCATGGATAATTCTAAGACCACAGATCAAATGCTTTATTTGAGAATTAAATAAGACCTTTATAGATTTTCTTCCTTCTGAAAGTCATGATCATATCTGCTTACAAAGAATTATCTGTGGTCCTTTGGTGATCCCACTGTTATGTGATCAGGTGGGATCCAGCCAACTCGCTGATAAAGAAACTTAAATCTAAAAATTACTGATATGCCTCTTGGCTGCTTCTCTGATCTATCTTGGGAATGGATGCAATGCATTTCCTTTTTATAACTTCATTGTTCTATAGAATGGAATGGAATGGAATGGAATGGAATGGAATGGAATGGAATGGAATAGAATAGAATAGAATAGAGTTTAGAAGGGACCTTGGAGATCTTCTAGTCCAGCCCCTGCTCAAGCAGGAGAACCTATACCGTCTCAGACAGGTGAATGTCTAGTCTCTTCTTAAAAATCTCCAGTGATGGAGCGCCCACGATTTCTGTAGGCAAGCTGTTCCACTGGTTGATTGTCCTCACTGTCAGGAAGTTTCTCCTTAATTCCAGGTTGTTTCTCTCTTTGATCAGTTTCCAACCATTGTTTCTCATCCTTCCATCTGGTGCTTTGGTGAACAACCTGGCCCCCTCTGCCTTGTGGCAGCCCCTATAATTGATATTGTTCCATAATCTTCCTTAAACAGGTAGAATATAAAAGTGAAGGATTTCTGGAAAAAAACCGGGACACTGTATATGAAGTACTGATTGACATCTTGAGAAACAGTAAGGTAAATACATTATTTTATGATTCCATAGTACTTTAGCTATGTATAGCTGTGGTAAGCACAACCTTGCAAGATGTATAGGAGTTATCAAAGCTAAACTCCAGCCTTTTTGAATGCATCTGGCAATATCTGGCCAGAACTGAATGTGTCCATCTGGTCTGGTCATTATGAGCAAAAAGTTCACTCCACCAAGCCATGTGTCAGCCTTGCAAAGGCTGTAGACCCAGACAGGAAGAACGTCCAGATGAGCTAATTCTACTTTAGTGTAAGGTTGCACGAACAGAATCTTGCAAGTCTGAAAATACATTTCTTCCCCCATCCTCTTGAAGGGATGCTAAAAAAAAAAGGCACGGCAGGAAAATGGCACAACTTCTAAACGGGGGTTGAATCCCGAACTGCCTCTCATGCTATCTAATTTCAATCTCTTTGTAGTTTCAGCTGTTTGCAAACTTCTTCCAGGACCTTTCAGTCCCTCTTTCCCCGTTCAACTCTGCAATCAAAGTTAAGTCTGCAAAAACAGTGATTGTGTCACCTAACAAACAGTTCCGTGCAACTGTTGGAAGTAAGGTATTTTTGTTTTAGATTCCTCCTGGGATGAGAAACCTAATTTGATGCATTCCTTTGTTTCTATTACTTTTATGTTCTACTTCACACACACCCTCCCCAAAAGAGTTCGAACCAGCCTAAATGCCTTTCCTGTTCTGTTTTATTTTCAGAGCATTTCTGAAAGGTAGATGACAGTGAGGAACAGTGCCTGAGGGTCCTTGGTGCTCTCTGAGCCCTGTGGTGTTTTTTTTGCAGACATTTCATTATCCAACTAGGGAGCATCATCAATGCTAGAACACCCAGATAATCAGAGATTAGCACCAAGATGAATACTAGACCAACAATCAAGAAGTAAACAGTATCCCAATATTAATGCACTGATGGTGTCACCTAATTGGGTCATGAAATGTCTGCAACAAAACCACCAAGCTCAGAGAACAACAAAGACCCCACTGTTCAACACAAGAGCTACAAATATTCTCTTTTATCAGTAACAATGGCTGAGTTTACACATTGCACAAAATGTAGCCTGTGATTTATTTTTTTATTCTGCCTACCATGCGAATCCAGTTTGGTGCAGAAAATTTTGATTTTCTTTGTCATTGGCAGTGCTGACTGATACTGATGAATTCTGAATTCCAAAACATCCAGGAAGGGGGGGGGGCAGATTTAGGATTATGTGCAGATCACAGTAGCTTATTCAACAATCCTAGCTAAATCATCCTGGTTTAATGTATTAGTGTAGCTTTTGACTGCCCTGGTGTCACCTAGTGAATGTCATGATTGAATGGGGGTTTGAAGCTGGCTCTTTGCCTAAGAATGATGAAAAGAACCATGTTGTGGCCCAAAAAGTGTGTGTGTGTCAGGAATCTGTTTGATCTTCCACTTGGTGCAGAGTTTGTCTCCCAGTTGATGTCAAGGTAGTTAAAGTCCCCCATTACTATTGTGATGTGCTTGCTACATATCTTAGTTAGCTGACTAGCAAAAAGTTCATCTATTTCCTCTGTTTGGTTGGGTAGCCTATAGTATACACCTATGGCAATGTCATTTTTTCTCCCTTTTATATTGACCCAAATGCATTCAAGACACTTTTCATCATTGTTGTGCTCTATTTCTGTAGAGATGTAGTTATTTCTTATATAGAGAGCAACTCCACCTCCTCTTTTATTTGGTCTGTTTCTCTTAAATAATTTAAATCCCTCTAGCTGTGTGTTCCATTTGTGGGTTTCATCCCACCATGTCTCCGTGATGGCAACAATATCATATCTGCCCTCATTAACCTGAATTTCTAGTTCACCCTGTTTGCTGTTGATACTCTGTGCATTGGTGTGTAGACATTTGAGTCCTTTATGACCGACCCTGTGTTTACTTTCTACATAACCTGTGTGGTGCCTGAGTTCCCTATTGTCTTATCACCTATTTGGTTAGTGCACTTTGTGTGGCACTCGTTATTGAAAGCTTGCTTAAGGTCCCTTCCAACTATTATTATTATTATTATTATTATTATTATTATTATTATTATTATTATTATTATTATTATTATTATTATTATTATTATTATTATTATTATTCCTGAGTGGGTAACACGAGGAATGATAAAGTCTTGTGACTAATAGCCATTGTAGTCTTTCCCTCCGCGAATGTGTCTGGTCCTTGTTTAAATTAGATCCCATCTCTCTCTCTCTTTTAATGAACAGTTTGACCTGCCTTGCTTGCATTTGGACGTGTTCATTTTCTATGGATCATTTCTGTAAATAGCAGATCCACGGATCATTAAAGAGAAGAAAAACCTTGGCAGCTTGAGGATGTGTGGACTTCAATTCCCAGAATTCCAGCTGGCTAGGGAATTCTGGGAGTTGAAGTCCGCACAGAACTCCAGCTGGCCAGGGAATTCTGGAAGTCAGGTCCACAAGATTGAGAAACACTGGGATAGAAAAACTGCATGCAGGATGTCTAGTTTCTTGGATCTATTTTCTTACTTGCCTTACAAACTTAGGCTGGAAAGGAATCTGAGACTCAACTGGAGGGTTGAGTAAAGAGGAGCAGAAAGTGGGAGGGGGCTAAAAGAGATATGGAAGAAGGAACCCCAAACCCCCATCCATCTGGATCATTGTGTTTCTACGCACTCACTTGTTTTGATAATACGGGCTGTCATTAGTATGAAGTTGGTAATAGATGTCTTAGCTTCCATTCATAAATTAGCAGGAAATTTGTTTCTTGATTCTAAAAGTTCAAGCAGCCATTTTTTAAAAATTATATTTCAGTTTCGCAGTTCCTTATACTTATTAATGGAGACGCTTAATGCCACCACGCCACATTATGTCCGGTGCATAAAGCCAAATGATGAAAAATTAGCATTTGAGTAAGTATGAAAGAAAACAGTGTTAGTTGTTTACATGCCTGTTCTTAGGAAAATTCCTATGGAATACGATTCATATCTATATAAATAAAAATGTAAATGTTCGTTTGTTCAAAATCTTAAATCTCCGAAAGTTCTTCACCGATTGCTTTGAAATTTTGACACAACGTTGCATTCGAATACGCGCGTGTTTTTATATACCTATATTATATAGATGTCACACCTGTGACAGGTAAAAACATGCTTTTTTTGAAAAACAGTGCCATCTGTTGGACGTAAAAGCAACACACGCTTTTATCAGACTGAGCCACAGCAACGCGTGGCTGGGTACAGCTAGTTTAGAATAATATGAGATGAAAGTTTGTTTTATAAATGAGATGGCTGGCTCCAAAGTTGAGAAGCACAGAGCAGAAGGTCCATTAAAGAACAGAAGGGCTGGGGAAAAAACATCAACATTAAATTATGGGGGAAAGAAAATTGTACCTTCATGTTGATAGAAATCATCAACTGCAGCTTATTTCTAATGTACATAAAGATGCTTACCTGGCTTTTAACTAAGTATGACTTTAGTGCAACTGTGCTAAGGATCCAGAAAATATTGACGAGGTCTTGTCAGCAAGCCCAGCTGCGTGATGCTATCTATTGTGAGCTATCATCTCATCCGCTCTGGCTCTCAACTTCCAAAGAAGGGTATCTAGAATGTAAAAACGGCATATTCCTCCTTCACAAGAAAATAATTTATTTACCATGGTATTCGCAATCAACTATTTGCTCTCTAGTTTGATCCTTATTAAAACCATTGAATGTGATATGCAGCTTATAAAAGGACAGGACACATTTGTTCTCTGACTGGGCAGAAATCAGTTCTTGTTTTCTTCTTCTTTAGATTTGACTCCAAAAGGGTGGTCCAGCAGTTACGAGCGTGTGGGGTGTTAGAAACCATTCGTATTAGCTCTCAGAGTTATCCATCAAGGTACGGAGTGCTCTCTCTACTGCAGGGGTAGGCAACCTTGGCTCTTTTATGACTCTTGGACTACAACTCCCAGAATTCCTGAGCCAGCCATGCTGAGGGGAAAGGGAGAGGTTTCCATGCTTAGCCATGCTGGCTCAGGAATTCTGGGAGTTGAAGTCCGCAAGTCATGAAGGGGCCATAGTTCCCCCACGCTGGCTCAGGAATTCTGGGAGTTGAAGTCCATGAGTCATAAAAGAGCCAAGGTTGCCTACCCCGATCTAGTGCTTCAAAGGTTGACTTCTTATATGTTTGATTAACCACTTCCACTGTTCTTCTCCTTGGACAGATGGACGTATCTTGAGTTCTACAGCCGTTACAGCATTCTCATGTCTCAAAGTGAACTTTCTCTAACAGACAAGAAACAAATTTGCAAGATGGTTTTGCAGCGGCTAATCCAGGTCAGGAGTTCTGTAACCATCCCTAGTCGCAGAGGGCCGAAGGGATGGCCACGAGACACTGTCAATGGCCATTCAGGCTGACAAGCACCTAAAATGTGACTATATGATCACGGAGGTTGTGTGTGTGTGTTCGACATAACCTGGAAAACAGGTCGTAAATAGTTTTTAAGGGGAATCCATCGTACGTTTGAATGGTTGCAAGTCAAGAACTGCTTGTATAGACACCCATTGCCCTCAGAAATTACTCTGATTTCTTTCTCTATTTTTCCCCAGGATCCAAGTCAATATCAGTTTGGCAGGACAAAGATTTTTTTCAGAGCGGGACAGGTTGCCTATCTGGAAAAAGTGCGCTCAGATCGGCTGAGGCAAGCATGCATTATGGTTCAGAAGAACATCCGAGGCTGGCTTCAAAGAATGAAGTTCCTGCGCATCAGACAAGCTGCAGTCATCATACAACAATATTTCCGGGGACAGAGGACCATACGGTATTTACAAGAAACAATCGAGCTGGTCCTTCATTGATTAATGGGCAGCTTCCCAGCGGACATATTTGTAGCAAAATAAGCCACTGACTGGTTAGACTGGGATCCCCAAACTTGGCAACTGTAAGACTTGTGGACTCCACCTCCCAGAATTCCCCAGCCAGCTGTGCTTTCGTACAGTCCACAAGTCTTAAAGTGGCCAAGTTTGCAGATCTCCGGGTTAGACTCATGAGATAGATCCAAGCAGTAATGGTTGGGTAGAAAGCAGCTTCTTGAGAAGGTGTCTTCAAAGGAAGTCTTTCACTACTAAACATCTTATTCCTTTTTTTTCTCCAGGAAAGCTATAACTGCCAGGGCCCTGAAGGAAACCTGGGCTGCCATAGTTATCCAGAAATACAGCCGAGGATATTTAGTGCGTAGACTTTGCCAGCTCATCCGTGTGGCTGCTTTGACAATCCAGGCCTTTGCACGAGGATTCCTAGCAAGGAAGAAATACAGGAAGGTAACAGATCCTTGAAACAAAGCCCACCAAGAAGCCATCATTGGTGTTTCATAGTTATTGTTCAGTAAGGAATGTGGATAAAGGGGTTTCGCTTCACAGAAGCTATGTCACAATGCCTTAACAATGTCCCGCAGACGCAAGATGAGGACTCCTCATGCCGATCAACATTCTCTGATTAACTGGAATTAGAACATGTTGTAGAATAGTGTATCCAGTTTTGGTCAGCACAATATCAAAAAGATGTTGAGACTCTAGAAAAAGAGCAAATAAGAGCAGCAAAGATGATTAGGGGGACTGAAGGCTAAAACATACAATGAAGGGTTGCTGGAATTGGGTATGTCTAGTTCAGGGGTAGGCAACCTTGGCTCTTTTATGACTCGTGGACTTCAACTCCCAGAATTCCTGAGCCAGCTGGCTGAGGAATTCTGGGAGTTGAAGTCCAGAAGTCTTAAAGTTGCCAAGTTTGAAGACCTCTGCTCTATTCTGTTGGTATTCCATATCAGAAAGAAAGTGGCTTTCTAACACTTGCTATTGGTCGGTAGCCAACCCAAATGTTGTCTACTAGGTAAAGATACACAGTTGGGGTATGCTGGCTCAGGAATTCTGGGAGTTGAAGTCCACGAGTCATAAAAGAGCCAAGGTTGCCTACCCCTGGTCTAGTTTAATGAAGAGAAGGACTAGGGGAGATATGATAGCAGTGCTCCAATATCTCAGAGGTTGCCACAAAGAAGAGGGGGTCAACCTATTCTCCAAAGCACCTGAAGGCAGGACAAGAACCAACGGATGGAAACTAATCAAGGAGAGAAGCAACCTGGGATTAAGGAGGAATTTCCTGACAGTGAGAATAATTAATTAGTGGAATGATGTGCTTCCAAAAGTTGTGGATGCTCCAACAGTGGAGGTTTTTAAGAAGAGGTTGGACAATCATTGTCTGAAAGGATGTAGGGTTTCCTTCCTGAGCAAAAGGTTGGACTAGAAGACCTCCAAGGTCCCTTCCAACTCTGTTATTCTGTCATTCTGCTATGTGTGATGTGAAGTGTAGCTGAGCAAGCAATAAGTAAGAACATACCATTGTCCTCTTCATTTCCCGTTGACTGCTATTGAAACTTACCATGGCTTTTGTCACCTGTGTTTAGGACTCTCCGCGTTTTCCATACTGGTTACCTTTACCTACTCCCCTGATTACAGTCTTTGCAGATGAATTTATTTACTATTTAAGCAAATTAGTCAACTGTTCCCTGAACAGTTTTTAAATGATGAGGCGGGCTCTCAGTTTGCTCACCTGCTCTGCGAGGGAGACGGCGGTTTCTAAATTTGATAAATAAATAAATGAAATTTTCTTACAAAGATGCTTGAAGAACAGAAAGCTTTAATCCTCCAGAAGTACGCCCGGGCATGGCTTGCAAGACGCCGATTCCAGAGTATTCGCCGTTTCGTCCTGAACATCCAACTCTCGTACAGAGTCCAGCGGCTGCAGAAAAAACTGGAAGAGCAGGTAGCTAAGAGGTCCCACCTTCATTCAGTGACTTAGTGCATTTCTACTACCTTGCCTGAGGTATGCTTTTATCCTGATTTTAGAATAAGGAAAACCATAGTTTGCTGGAAAAGCTGACCACCCTTGCTTCAAATCACTCCAGTGATATAGAGACCATTCAAAAACTTCAACGGGACCTTGAAAAATCAACTGGGCAAAGAAAACTATCTGAAGAAAATGAGAAGAAGAACAAGATGGGCTATGAACAGGTGAGTCGTAAGAGGATGCACAGGTAGATAATCCTCGGCTTACTTCATTCAGTGACCGTTCAAAGTTACTTAAAAAAAGTAAGTTATGACCGTTTTTCATACTTACGAGTATTGCAGTCTCCTCATGGTCACGGGATCAAAATTCAGACACTTGGCAAATGGTTCATGTTTACAACGGTTGCAGCGTCCCAGGGTCACGCGATCCCCTTTTGCGACCTTCCAACAAGCAAAGTCAACGGGGGAAGCCTATTCACTTAACAACCACGTCACTAATTGAACAAGTGCAGGGATTCACCTAACAACAGAAGAAAGAAGGGTCGTAAAATGGGGCAAAATTCACTTAGCAACAGAAATTTTAGGCTCAATTGTGGTCGTAAGTCAAGGACTACCTGTATAACAAAATACACAGCAAAAAAATAATAATAATTCAGTTTGTGAGCTATGTGATTCGGCCGTCCATGGATAGAAAATAAGTGGCATTCTTAAAAATATGAGTTTTCACAGATTTTATTTTATTTTTTGCTTTACCTTCTCCCTATAGAGGGTTTCGAAACTTGAAAACCACAACTTGAGACTACAGGAAGAGAAGAAAAAGGTGGAAAAAGAACTTCAAAAGAAAACAGAGGAAATGAAAGGTGTGATCGACTGTTATTTTAAGAACTTGTTGCTACTTCGATTTTTTCAGACTAGCTTCACAATCGGCCATAATACAAAGCAGAATTTACCAAGCAGAATATTGAACACAAACACAGTTTTGGCATTGTGTGATGAGTGAATCCAGCCAGTCGGTCTTTTAAGCTCTGGTTTATAGTTCTTATATTATGTGAATTAAGACTTAGGGCTTACAAATCATGGTTAAGACGAACCATAGTTCACTAACCTAAAAATGTAATAGCGAGTAATAAAGGAACAAGAGATTTTTTTAAAAAAGGATCAAAGGACATTCACGATACAGATGTTCTTACAACCATGCTTTAAAAAGTTTACTATTATCTTGGCATTTATCTGAACAAATGCCTTTGTCCAGGACAGTTGGCAGATATATAAGTTTTAAGTTTAGTATAACTAAAAGGCATCAACTTTAATGCTTTAATATTACATTCATTTTATGGTAAATACAGATTTGGCTTTTAAAAAAAATTGTAATATCTCTCTCAGCCATTGTAGACTGCTATGTAAAATTACTTCAAGTAAAGTTAAACTTTCTAAGCTTTGCTTGATAATCTTCAAAAGTACATCTGACTGAATTTTAATTATTTTACTCTACGTAAAGAGCTTTTTTAAAAAATGTACGTATTATCTTCCTTCAGATAAACTGGATAATTTGACGAAGCAGTTATTCTCTGATGTTCAAAGAGAGGAAAACCAACGAATGTACGGAATTTAATTTCTTAATTCAAATTGCCATTTTCTTGGAGTACTGTTTTTCTTGTTTGCAAAGAAAGTGAATAATTTTTAAAGGAGTGAAAAGGTATTCATTTAAGTAGGGTGTATGAGCAGGAAGTATATATACTCGGTTCTAAAAATACGGGCTCAGTCCTGAAAAAGTTAGCATGAGTCTCCAGCGGTGGGAAAGTTTGTTAAGAATAAATTGGGCTGCTTTATACAAACTTTTTCCACAACTCTATTTTTAGAAAATAAATTTAGAAATTAAAAGTATTTAATAAGGCCTGCTATTATAGTTCCACAACTCCAGGGGGCGCAATCACAATACAACTTTCGTGGTTTCTGGAATGAATTTGTAATCTTGTGGAAAGACTAATTACCAACATCTTAATAATCATATGAGCTTTGTCAATCTCATAGTGTTGGAATAAGGCAGTTCCTTAGATTTTCAAAGGATCATCATTTAAAGAGGATGGGTTTTTTTTTCTTTTTCTTTTCAAAGTTACTGGCATATACATCAGTGTTTCTCAACTTTAGCAAATTTAAGATGCATGGGTTTTAATTCCCAGAATTCCTCAGCCAGCATGGGGGAATTGTGGGAGTTGAAGTCCACACATCAAAGTTCCCAACATTCAGAAACACTTGATGCACATCTTCGGATTAAAATATGGGTGCTGAAAGAAAAGGAGTGAACGTTATACTTGTGTAATGTTGCTAGTTTATTGTTTCTGTTCTTTTATTATCTGTTTTTTTAAAAAAATATCATACTTTTCATCTTGTTGTTATATTCCACAAACAAATATACAAGAGAGAGATTGCACATCTGTAACTGACTGGGGTCTTAGATGTGTAGAATCGTGTTCCTAGAGAGATAAGGGTGTCCTTCTGAATCTTTGTAGAATATTGGAGAAAAATTTCCAGAGCGAAAAACAAGATTATGAAAAAAAGATAGAGTCCCTCAATGCAGAAATAATGCTTCTCAAAGAGGAAAATGCTCAGCTGCAAAATCTGATTCAGGAACTGCAACAAGCTCAAGAAGGCTTAAAAACAGAAATAGAGGAACTTTCAAACCAAATTAAGGTAGGATAAGAAATGAAATAGATGGATATTAATTTGTGATTGTTTCCTACCTTATTCAAATTCCCACTTTCATATGCTGTGCACTGTTACTCTGATATACTTATTAATATATTCATATGCTGCCCATTTTATTCTTATTTTCATTACTCTAAATTACTGGCTGTGATTTCGTCTTTGGGATTGTGGCTATTGTAGTGTCTTCCCTTTTGCCTTCTTATTTGCTTCTCATTGAACAACGTCTTGTTCTATCAATGTTTAATCAACTCAGACAATCCCTGAATTGCGAAAAGAAATCGACTTCCTTCAGATTCAGAGACTGGATGCGGAGAAGCAACTACAATACCAGAAGCGTGAAATGAGAGGTAATTGGAAAACATCACTCATTCCCATAATTAAAATGTGCCGGCGAATGGATTTCATAGTCCAAGTGCTATAATTATATAGCCTTCCGTCTTGATCTCATCTGTGTACATTTATACAATGACTCTGGAAATATAGAGGCATTGTGCACAAAAAGGGAGAAATGAAAGGGTTGAAATTGAGAGAATTAATGGGCAAAAACTCCAAATCAGCGTTTCTGAAGACTGCTTCCTGACTCAATAAACTGAATTAGTGGGATATTCAATGCGTTCAGTGTAACCACTTAGTGAAGGATGTACCGGGAAAATGTGTAGATGTTCTTAGTTACAGCAGCTGTTTCCAATGTGATCTCTTCTTGACATGATGGGATTCCAACTCCCAGAATTCCTTAGATCAGTGTTTCTCAACCTTGGCTATTTTAAGACGTGTGGGACTTCAACTCCCAGGATCCCCCAGCCAGCGTGGAATGAAAATGGGAGGCAATGGTTATGAAGTCCAGAAATGCAACTCCAGTAGACCCTAATCAGGTCTAAATTAACTTTAATCCTTTAACTTGTCTTTTAAGCCAATGCCAATTACATACAGAGTTCTTTGCAGATGCTCAAGGAGAGGCCATTCCATGGATGCCTTAATTTGGATTTTTTCACTGAGTAGAAAATTCAATTCTTTGGCCTAAATAGCTCCTTCCAACCCTATTGTTTCAATATGTTATTTTCTGGTCCTTGTTGCACATCAGGAGGAGGAACCTATGTGTTCCAGATATTGTTGATTTCAACTCTTACCAGAAACTAAATGAAGCCGATTTGTAGCTATCAAGTGGAACTTGATCAGTGAGACAGAACAATGGATCGCAAGCAAACCCGGAAATGCAGTCATTAAGACTATGTGGTTGTAGTAGAACGTCAACATGCACGGAACTTTTCTTTTTTTCTTTTTAATCTCCTTTAGAGAAGATGTCCGAGATTACCAAGCAACTCTTGGAAAGCTATGACTTTGCGGACGTGAGGAGCAGGTACTGATGCCTCTTCGTTGGTGTTCCAGAATGCAGCAGCTTCCAATTTTGCTTCACAGATCTTTCACCCACTCAACCTCCCCTTCCCTTTCTGCCTCACAAACAGATTGTCTCCGGAAGACTTGCAACATCTGAATGAAGATGGTGAACTCTGGTTTGCCTACGAAGGCTTGAAAAAAGCCACACGGTGAGCTGTACTTTCACCTGGTTTGGATGCGGCCCTGGGTCACATATTGGTGGGAGTAACAGAAGCACAACACTGAATATGAGTTTTCATGTAATGCGGCTGCCAGATGATGATATATATTGCTCCACAAGAGCAACTTGTGAACGTTAGTAGAGTGGGGGTACGCTCTTCTTGTTTAAAATTGATGTCTCCCTTAGCATTCCTTAGATAGATGACGGAGCAGAAGCTCTGGAGAAACAGGGTTTATTACTTCTCTGTCAGGTGAACTTCAGCTCTTTGAAAACCTAGGTGATTTAATAAAATGTTTTGATCAGAAAAGGGGCTACCAGAATCCTCAAATCCCTCCTCAGGGATAGAATCAAGATCACGTGAAGTATTAATACCACTTTACAATGCCTTGGTAAGGCCACACTTGGAATACGGCATCCAGTTTTGGTCACCACGACGTAAAAAAGATGCTGAGACTCTAGAAAGAGTACAGAGAAGAGCAATAAAGATGATTAGGGGACTGGAGGCTAAAACATATAAGGAACGGCTGCTGGAATTGGGCATGTCTAGTTTAATGAAGAGAAGGACGAGGGGGGACATGATAGCAGTGTTCCAATATCTCACGGGCTGCCATAAAGAAGAGGGAGTCAAGCTATTCTCCAAAGCACCTGAAGGCAGGACAAGAAGCAATGGATGGAAACTAATCAAGGAGAGAAGCAACCTAGAACTAAGGAGAAACTTCTTGACATTAGAACAATTAACCAGTGGAACAACCTGCCTCCAGAAGCGGTGAATGCTCCAACACTGGAAGTTTTTAAGAAGAGACTGGACAGCCATTTGTCTGAAATGGTATAGGGTTTCCTGCCTGAGCAGGGGGTTGGACTAGATAACCTCCAAGGTCCCTTCCAACTTTATTATTATTATTATTGGCAGTTTTAATTGTCAATCTTGACTTATGACAATAGGCACTGAGCAGAAACTGTGTTTCTCCTTCTCTTGGGCTGAAACATTGACGCTTCACGCTGTATTTACAAGAACAGCAGTAGAAATCAGTCCATCTATTTGAAACTAAGCCTTAGATAACTTCGTTGTATATTTAGATTCATAAAACTAGGTCTTGGATACTTCTAGATTTTGGGGGAGATGCGTGCAGTCTGGTTAGATAGTATTGGAGACAGATATCCACAAACTGCATCAGTCAGTCTCAAAGATTATGGGAAAAAAACACCAGCATCTTGACTGTCCAAACGGTGGGTTCTATGGTTCTGTTTACCACAAGGCTTAATTTAAATTTTTTTACTTCAGCAGCTTACCTTTGACATAGTTTAAACCTACTCTGTTATCTCAGCTTTCTTTCTTTCTTTTTTTTTTAATACTGGGTATTTCGTCTGCAAATACTAAGGATTTGATGTGGTGGACTAAATCTTAAACTCTCCTTGGCTAACTATGTCTCATGCAAGTAAACAGAGAAAAGAAATGCATTCCATTAGATGAAAAAACTTTTTCTGGGAAACCACCCTAGTCATGTCTAAATTAACTTTAATCTTTTAACTTGTCTTTTAAGCCAGTGCCAATTACTCACAGAGTTGGTGGTCTCCTGTTCTTTGCAGATGCTCAAGGAGAGGCCATTCCGTGCATGCCTTAATTTGGATTTTTTTTCACTGAGTAGGAAGTTTAGCTCCTTCCAACCCTATTGTTTCAATATGCTATTTTCTGTCTTTGTTGCATATCAGGATGGGGAACCTATGGGCTTCCAGATGTTAAAATTACCAGTGGTAAAGAAATTTGGGTCTTCAAACTTGTGTAACTCTCCATATTTCCAGATGTAGAGGTTCCTCAACATCAGGGATCCCCAGAGTTGGCAACTTTAAGGCTTGTGGACCTCAATTCCCAGAATTCCCCAGCCAGCCATGATGGAAATTGAAATCCACAAGTCTTAGTTTGGAGATCCTTGCTCAACATGGTAATAGTTTAATTGCTGGGATTCTTTCTACTTAGATCCAACTTTCTTGGCCCAAAGCCATCTAAAACTAATGAAACTGCACCTTCTAGTAGCCTTGAAAGTTGCCAGCTTAGTCTTTCTGGATGACCAAATTGAAGACGGCTGAAGCTTACCTAACGAAAGAAGTGATCCATTCTTCTGCACACAAGTTATGGAAGGGAATAAGCTTGAACTGGATGGTTTTCTTAAACAACCTTCCTTTTATTTAATAGATAGTTGAAAGCTCAGCACAGATAAAGCAGAAAAGAAACAAGATAAAGAAAAAGAAAAGAGATTTACAAGCTACATAAAACTGAGTAAAAACGTTGCAGTAACATTACCTTAGTGCTGGGCATCAAATACAAGTGATCCTAACCATTATTGGTGTCAAATCGGCATTCAGTAATCAGCAAAGGTGCAATAAGAATCATGCCAGAATTACAATTGGCCTAAGTTTCTATCTAATCTAAAAAATTCTACCCTTGTTAGCAGGTCTTTTTTTTTTTTTAACGGATTGGTGCCAAATACCATTTTTCTGGATGTCTTTTGCTGTTGGTGAAGACAAGCATTGCATTATTACGGCTATCCTGTTTCTTGTATGTCTAGTTTANGAACAACCTGCCTCCAGAAGCGGTGAATGCTCCAACACTGGAAGTTTTTAAGAAGAGACTGGACAGCCATTTGTCTGAAATGGTATAGGGTTTCCTGCCTGAGCAGGGGGTTGGACTAGATGACCTCCAAGGTCCCTTCCAACTTTTATTATTATTATTATTATTATTATTATTATTATTATTATTATTATTATTATTACTATTACTATTACTATTACTATTACTATTATTACTATTATATGCTATTTTATTTTTTTGTTCTTCCTGCAGAGTTTTGGAAAAACATTTCCAGGATCAGAAAGGGAACTACGAAAGGGAGATAGATGATCTGAATGCTAAAATAAACCATCTTAGTCAAGAGAGCACCCACCTAGAGAAACTCTTCCGGGAGGAAAACGACACTAAGGAATGTATCCGTCTCCAAGTTGCCAGGCTAACCTCCGAGAACATGGTGAGGATTATTATAGAACTTAGAAATCTCTTCTAGAACCAAGTGGCTTCCAAATAGAAACAGGTAAGCAGAGAGCAACATCAGTTGTAGCTACAGGTAGTTCTCGACTTACAGCCACAGTTGCAACCAGAATTTCCACCGCTAAACAAGCTGCCTGTTAAGTGAGTCGCGTCCCATTTCATGACCTTTTTTTGTCACAGTTGTTACCGCAGTTGTTAAATCACAGAGTCATTAAACCTACCTTTCCCCGTTGACTTTGCTTGTCAGAAGCTGGCTGGGAAAGCCACAAAAGGCGACCATACGATCCCGGAACCCTGCAGCCGTTGTAAATACACGCAGTTGTCAAGAGCCCAAAGTTTGATCACATGACCGTGGAGATGCTTGCGATGGTCGTTAAGAGTGAGAACTGGTTGTAAATCTCAAAGGTGCTTTTTCACGAGGCAACTGGACTTTCTTGTTTTTCTTTGAAGACGTTTTGCTTCTCATCCAAGAAACTTCTTCAGCGCTGACTGGATGGTGGGGAATGGAAGGATTTATACTCCTTGCAGACAGCTGGTCATTTGCATTCTTTTAGAGAACCGTTGAGGCCACTTGGAGGTTTGTCTCTGTCTTCCAGGTCACCTGAGTGTGTGCTGGGTGTGCTGAAAGCAGTTCCAAGAAGGCCCCACCCACATTTGCACTACTCAGGGGACCTTGAAGATACAGACAAACCTCCAAGTGGCCTCAACGGCTCTCTAAAAGAATGCAAATGACCAGCTGTCTGCAAGGAGTATAAATCCTTCCATTCCCCACCATTCAGCCAGAGCTGAAGAAGCTTCCTGGATGAGAAGCGAAACGTCTTCAAAGAAAAACAAAGAAAGTCCAGTTGCCTCTTGAAAAAGCACCTTTGGGACAACCTTGACCTGGATGACTGAGAACCTCCATAGACAGTGATTGTAAATCACTTTTCTCAGTGCTGTTATAACTTCAAATAGTTGCTAAGCCAATGGTTGTAAGTTGAGAACTACCCGTATTAACAAATTGGCCTGCTGTTCTTGCATGCAAGCATGTTGCCTGTTTTTAACCATCCGCTCCAAAGCTGCTGGCCTTGATTTTGTTTAGATCTTCTTTGGTTCAAAGAAAGTGGACAGTAATTACTGGAGAAGCCCATTCTTGTTTTGCTATTGTTATAATAAATTTAGAGGTGTTGAATGACATAGTCATCGGACTCTTCCCTACCCTTATTCCTTTTTTGGTGAAGATGATGCCCGACCTTAAGCTGCAGGTTGCTGAACTTCAGAAGCAGAAGCTGGATCTTGAGCATCGTCTTCAAGATGAACTTGTCAAGAAAAGCGGTAATTTGCGTGCACAGTCTTGTCGCGCGAGATAACCCAGGAGTAAACACAGTAAACAGTGGTCTATATTAAATGGTGGTGTATCTTACATTATCTACAATATCATACACTAGGAACAATATACATACACATACTAATACAGCAGGATCCAACACACCACAGTTACAGCAGGAAACAGAAGAGAGAGAACACAGCAGTGTTTTTACAAAGGCTCTTAAAGAGACCCAGACCCAGCTGGCTCTTAAAGGGACATAGACCCTGCTGAGTCATTCCCATCATTACATCATACATCTCACATTACACAAGCTGGTTAGCTGTTAAATCATTACCTTGACATTTGCAAAATAGGGAGAACATATTTTTGCCATGGATTTTCTACTCTGGTGAGACGAGAATAGGGTTGAGTGGTGTGCATAGGCTCAGTCGCGGTTTTAGTTTCTGGTATGCCCATCTAAGAGAAGCCAGAATAGTATCGTGCATGTCATGGCGTCATCACAGTCATGTCATGCATTATATAATGGTTCTCCTTCTACAATGATGTCATAATTGCATGGGACATTATTCCTGCCTCCCCCTTCCCTCCACTGCAGACACCCATGCTCCTGTGGGATGAAACTGGTCTGGAAAAAAGCTTTCTGGGAGAGCCACGATCTGTAAAAAAGGATTGATCTAGATAGATTGATTTCATATTGCTTGCCCTTCAAGATTTGCCAGGGCAGGAAAAAGGAGCCACTCAAAGTCTAGGAATCTACTTTAATGCTCTTAGGCAGAGGTCTTCAAACTTGACTCTTTTATGACTTGTGGACTTCAACTCCCAGAATTCCTCAGCCAGGCAATTCCACAAGTCATAAAAGAGCCAAGTTTGAAGACCCCTGCTCTTAGAGTTAGGAAATTCTGGGGGTTGAAGTCCACAAGTCTTAAAGTTGCCAAGTTTGGAGAAGCCCTGAAATAGAATCTTGGAAGCCTGCCAAAGACTCTGTCCACTTCAACGTCTACCTACCCCAATCAAGGTGTTGTTGTTTTGAGTTTCTTTCTCAGGTATCTTTTTCTGGGGTGTCTTTCCTGACATTCCACTGCACATACATTGAACATGCTCAATTTTGCATTTTTGTGCATTTTTACGCACACACAGAGAGTATGTAGGTATATGTGAGAGGCAGTTTGGTGCAACGGTGAAGCTGCTAGAGTGAGAAGGACCTTAGCCCCTTCACTATGATGACTTTGGGCCAATCCCTCCCTCTCCGCCCAAGAGCCAGAAGGTTGGTGGTAAAGGTCTTGACCTAAAAGAGGGAACCCCTGAGTTCAAGTCCTATTTAGACATGGGAACTGGTGAGTTTCTGTTGGATATTTTTTTAGCCCAAGAGGGGAAATCAAAACATTTCTATCTAGCAACCTTCATTGATCCAGATTATAGTCCATAACATTCAACAAAGAGGGCTTCATTCTGCGGTGAGTTGATTTGAGCTTATAATCACACACACACACACACACACACACAGAGAGAGAGAGAGAGAGAGAGAGAGAGAGAGAGAGAGAAGGAAGGAAAAGCATATTTCAAGAAAAAAGACTCCAGGTTTCTTAAACGGGCCCGGTTTCTCCTTTCACCTATCGTTAAAAAAAAAGAGAACAATTATTGGAAGGCTTTTTATTCTAGATAATCTTCATGTTTTATTAGGCTTTAAAACGCTGCCATCCATAAACTGCTGCCTAGTAACAGCCATTGGTGGATGATAGGCTGCACTTTAGAAAGTCTTAATTATTCATGTTCTGTGAAATTGTTTTCTCTGTTTAATGTGAAGTCGTATTATATATGGCGAATCTTGCTGCATCATTCATATTATGTATCTGGAGGGCCTGTCTGATGAACTTCTGGGTTATTTTTTCCTCTTTTGTATCTCCTTTGTTTTCCTGTATCGCTTCATTATTCTTCCTAGATCCCATTCAGCCTCTCTTTCTAGCATATAAAAATATGATTACTGTCATCATCATACTGTCATTAAAGATATTAAATTATAACGTGAGTTCACGGATTAAAATGCTTATCTTTATTGTTGAAGAGAAAATGGAAGACTGGACAGATCAAAACACAGATGAGGAGCGCTCACAAAAACAGTAAGCAGGCTTAAATCTGATTTTTTTTTTTTAATAATGATAATCTAGATTTATCTGGGCACCAAACTTTAGAAGCCGTAGTTTCGTAAAATGATTGGCCTAACCACAGTTTACTCTGTTAGTTATATGTTTTGGCTTCATAAACATTCTGAATTTTAACTAAGTGATATGGGGTTGAGTTTGTCCAACTTGGTAGCCTAAAATACGGTTGGCTGCCTCGTGTTCACTTGTGTTGTGCAAACACAGCCAGATTAAATGGAAAGGAAGACCTGGAGTGACTAATCATGTTGAAACTTATAAGAAATTGCCACTTATTTCAGAAAGGGTTTCTAAGTTTTGCAACTGACACTTTCATATAATAGCTTCTTACAAAGTGATCTTGCCTAACTGAGTGTTGCAAAAGATTTCATTTGCTGATTTCTGCAGAATGACCCCCCTCTTTATTTAAATAAAGAAGGGTGGGTGGAATGAATTTTGTTTTTCTGACCTGGGAATTTAAAAAATGAGCTTGAGATGCATGGAAAGTGGAACGTAGAATATTTTACAGGAAATCCTTGACTTAACAACGGTTCAGCATTATAACGTCCCGGTGCCATTTGATCACCATTTATCTCCTTCCCACCTATTTCCCAACCAGCAAAGTCAATGAGAAAACTCAGTTTCGCTTAATGACTGTAATGATTCACATAACAACCGTGAAATAAAGGGGGCAAAATTGGAAGCAACTCACTTATCAACCTCCTTGCTTAGCAACGGAGATGCTGGTCCCAAGTGTGGCTGTAAATTAAGGACTCCCTGTACAGCAAAAATGTTGTTTGTTGTTTGTTGCACAGGAGAAAAAAAAAGGTTCAAATGTATTTTATGCTTTTTAGAGCCTTGCCACTTCGAAAGGAAATGTCCCCTAAAGGAAAGACATTTCCAGAGTTTCAGAGGGACACTGACCATCTGGAGAAGCAGCCTGAAAGAGCAAATGGGACTGGAAGCAAAATATGGCAGGACGTCATGTATCTCACCATGGAAAATACAGTAAGGAAGGCCCAGAGGCTTGGAAACCTTTATAATAAACTGCTAAAAATTAAGCAAGTCCCCAATGCTGCTTTTTCCAAAAGGCAACTGGACTTTCTTTGTTGTTGTTGTTGTGTTTTGCTTTGAAGTAAACTGAAGAAACTTCTTGGAGGAAAAGTGAAACGTTTTCAAGAGAAAAAAAAACCCAAGAAAGTCCAGTTGCCTTTTGGAAAAAGCACCACGGGGACACGCATGACCTGGAGGATTGCGGATCTCCGTAGACAGGTCCCTCCGTCCTTCTCCTTCATTAGGAAAATTAGATACGAGAGATAACAAGCTGGTAAACTTGTTCATTTACATAGCTGTCATAAAAAAGTTCATTTACATTCACTGCATCCTTTTAAAAGATGGATTTAATTGACGAAATACCTATCGCCTTGAGATGAAGGCTTTCAAAACTTCAGCCTTTACTCCAGGGGTCTTCAAACTTGGCAACTTTTAAGAATTGTGGACTTCAACTCCCAGAAATAATAATAATAATAATGATGATGATGATGATGATGATAATGATGATGATGATGATGATGATAAAGTTGGAAGGGACCTTGGAGGTCATCTAGTCCAACCCCCTGCTCAGGCAGGAAACCCTATCCCATTTCAGACAAATGGCTGTCCAGTCTCTTCTTAAAAACTTCCAGTGTTGGAGCATTCACCGCTTCTGGAGGCAGGTAGTTCTATTGGTTAATTGTTCTAACTGTCAGGAAGTTTCTCCTTAGTTCTAGGTTGCTTCTCTCCTTGGTTAGCTTCCACCCATTGCTTCTTGTCCTGCCTTCAGGCGCTTTGGGGAATAGTTTGATTCCATCTTCCTCAGCCAGCTTTCCATGTCAGAAAGAAAGTGACTTTCTAATACTTGCTATTGGCTAGTAGCCAACCCAAATGTTGTCTACTAGGAAAAGATACACAGTTGGGGTATGCCCTTCCTGTAACTGACACAGCCTTTTTAAATGTGCATTTTTCTTCCTCAACCCTTTCCACATCCTAGGATCTAGAAGAAGAGCTGGATAAGAAAGACCGGTTGATAAAGAAGCTTCAGGATCAGATCAGAACCCTTAAAAAATCCATTGAGACAGGTAAGGATTTTTCGCACATAACACTTCGTATCTTAACATTCAGTTTTGGGACACAGGTCGAGTTTACTTTTTTTCTGGAAGTAACTACATTTTGATACTGAACAGGCAGTGAAGAATCTCCATCTTCGGTGCTAAGAGAATACATGGGAATGTTGCAATACAGAAAGGAGGACGAAGCAAAAATCGTTCAAAACCTGATCCTTGGTACGTCCGTAACCATTTGCGTTTCCGTTAAAGTAGGCCTAGGCAAACCCCAAGAAATCAATGTTATTAAAGTCTGTGGCCTGCGATCAGTCCTTACCGTTTTCCTCTTTTTTTCTTGTGGTTTACAAGGCTTCTGATATTGGTGTAGTGGGGAGGGGCTTCCTGTCTGTGTGTTTTTCTATAACTTCTCTATCAACTTTCATTCTTCAAGCTTAAACCTTGGAAGCCTCCAGAATCCTGAATTTCCTTATCCTTCTCTGATTTACCATCACTGTAAGTCGCAGCAGAAAAACAATCAGATTGTTACTGAGATCTTTTCCCTTCCTTCCTTCCTTCCTTCCTTCCTTCCTTCCTTCCTTCCTTCCTTCCTTCCTTCCTTCCTTCCTTCCTTCCTTCCTTCCTTCCTTCCTTCCTTCTTTCCTTCCCAATAGTACTTAGACTTATATACCACTTCACAGTGCTTTGCAGCCCCCTCTAAGCGGTTTACAGAGTCAGCTTATTGCCCCCAACAATCTGGGTCCTCATTTTACCGACCTTGGAAGGATGAAAGGCTGAGTCAACCTTGAGCCAGTCAGGATCGAACTCCTGGCAGTGGGCAAAATTAGCCTGCAATACTGCATTCTAAACACTGCGTCACCACGGCTCTTATTGATATCAGGTTTCCTTTCTCCTTCCCTCCTCCTTCCTTCCTTCCTTCCTTCCTTCCTTCCTTCCTTCCTTCCTTCCTTCCTTCCTTCCTTCCTTCCTTCCTTCCTTCCTTCCTTCCTTTCTCTCCTTCCTTCCTCCCTTCTTTCTCTCTCTCTCCCCCTCCCTCTCTCCCTCCCTCTTCCTTCCTACTTTCCTATCCTCTTTGTCTCCCTCCCTCCCTCCCTCCCTCCCTTCCTTCCTTCCTTCCTTCCTTCCTTCCCTCTCTCCCTAAATGGTGTACAACTTTGAGCAGCCTTAATCTAATGGTCCAGAGGCTGGTAGCTCAACAATATTTGGGTGAGCGGGTAGCACAGCTTTTCCAAATCTATCTCAAATACAACCTATCACGTGCTGAATGCTTCTTTATCTTTGTAGTGTAGAACCTGTGTCACAAACATGGACATTGAAACCGTCAGCCTCTTTGCCCATTAAATCTTAAATTTTTCTACTCGTGCAGATCTGAAACCCCGTGGAGTAGTAGTTAACATGATTCCTGGCCTGCCAGCTCATATCCTCTTCATGTGCGTAAGATACGCGGATTATTTGAATGACGACAGTATGCTGAAGTCGTTTATGAACATGGCAATCAGCGGCATCAAACAAGTCATTAAGGTAAGGATCACTTGAGTTTCCTTTTCAGAGGGCGCCCGTGGCAATTCTGTGAGAATGTTTACAAAACAGAAACCGCCAACGCTCAATCTAGGAAGGACGCAACAAGGCGTGCGTGGCTGCAGTGACAACTCAAGTCGGAGATTGTACAGGTAGTCCTCAACTTACGACCAAAATCGAGCCCATTGCTAAAAGCGAGACGTTTGTTAAATGAGTTTTCCCCCATTTTACAATCGTTCTTGCAACACTTATGAAGTGAATTGCTGTAGTTGTTAAGTAGTAACATAGTCGTTAAGTGAATTTGGCTTCCCCATTGACTTTGCTTGTCAGAAGGTCACAAAATGGGATCACATGACCCCCCCCGGGACACGGCAACCGTCATAAGTACATGCCGGTTGCCAAGCATGCAAATTTTGATCACAGGGATGCTGCAAAAGTTGCAAGTGTGAAAAATGGTTGTAAGTCTTTTTTTTTTTTAATACCGTTGTAACTTCGGTCACTAAATGAATGGCTGCAAGTCAAGGATTTCCCAAATTGTGATCATTTTCAACGCAATGGTCTGGTTCACATATATATCCAAAACAGATTTTACAAGCTAGAATTGCCAGGTCAGTGCATGGTGTTCAGCAAAATGATCTGCATTACGGCTCAGTTCAGGATGTGAAGGCAGACCTTGATTGGGTTCACTGTTTCACCAAACCGTGGCTTATATACAGATAGTCTCAACTTACAACCATAACTGGGACCAGGATTTCTGTTGCTAAGCAGGGCGGTTGTTAAGCGAGTTCCACATTTTTTTTAATTGGTGCACATAAAATATAAAATTAAAGAAAAGTATTTCATTATTTAGGAACATGCCGAAGACTTTGAGATGTTATCCTTCTGGCTTTCCAATACATGCCATTTTCTTAACTGTCTGAAACAGTACAGTGGGGAAGAGGTAAGTTTAACTTCATCCTAGGCTTGTCTTCATGAATGGCTTAATACAGGGGTCCCCAACCTCCGGGCTGTGGACCAGTACCGGGCCGTGGCATGCCAGCAACCGGTCCGCACAAACAAGCAAAGCCCCATCCGCGGGATGCAGGCAGCACACACAACCACATCCCTCCTCGGGTCCGCAGAAAAAACGTCTCCCCATGGAACCGGTCCCTGGTGCCCCAAAGGTTGGGGACCTCTGGCTTAATACACCATCCTAGCATTGTGCTGGTTGGCTGAAAAGAACTGCCTCCATCAGTTAGATCACCATTCTGTGCTCAGAGGACCATTCTGTGCTCAGAGCATTTTGCTAGCCAAGTGTCTTATCCCAATAAACTGGGTGCCAAGATTTTTCAAGCTGGTACTTCAGTCATGTTTGTCTCTGCCATGGGTGATATTTCCTTCCACTTAATGAGCTGAGGAAAAGGGGTAGGACCCCATGTTCTTACAGGCTCAGGTGTCACCTCTGATCACACCACAGAAGAGTTTTCCTGCCTTTTTTGCCTCTCCAAAGAGATTTATTTTTATGTTATGATTTTTTTTTTTTTTGCTTCTAAAATCTAACTGAGATAGGAAATTGTCAGTATAATCAGGACAAAGCAATTGTTTTCAGGGATGAGAACCATTTAAGGCCCCCTAAATTGTAGACTGGAGATTTTGCGGTACTATGTAAAGAAATTCTGGCTTTGCTTAATTTCTCCGAAGTGTAAGAAATGTAATGTTAATTTATGGTGGTACCCATCCTCTCTTTTCCTCTCTTAGCTATTTCTAGGTATTTGGAAATGTTTTAGAAATAATATATCGTAATGATTGAATTGCACAATTGGTGTTCACCAAAATGCACTTAAATTTAAGAATTCTACAGAAGAACAAAACAAAAACTCACCGTCCCTAATATTTTCCAATAAAATTAAATTGAATGGCTGGCTCTCTAATGTGTTTATATTCTATTGTCCTAGATCAGGGATCTTCAAACTTGGCCCTTTTATAACTTGTGGACTTCAACTCCCAGAATTCCTCAGCCAGGCACGCTGGCTGAGGAATTCTGGAATTCTGGAATTCTGGGAGTTGAAGTCCACAAGTCATAAAAGGGCCAAGTTTGAAGACCCCTGTCCTAGAGGCAAAAAATATGCACATGGATACTGTTGGCTAAGCTACCTTAAAAGCTTATGTGTAATTTGTTTGTGATCTTCATTGCCACATGTTGATAATGCTGCAATTGACTTTCAGGAATTCATGAAGCACAACACGCCGCAACAAAATAAGAACAATCTGATCCACTTTGATCTGTCCGAATATAGGCAGGTGCTTAGTGATCTTGCCATTCGTATATATCATCAGTTTATCGGTGTAATGGAGACCAGTATTCAGCCAATGATAGGTAAGGAGTTAGATCAACATTAGCCATCATAGATTTTATAAAGCCTCTCCTTATTTGAAACCCTATTGGGAAATTCGAGAGTTAGAGTTAGATTCTGAAACATTTAACTCAAATGTTTATGTGACTATGAACTGCTTGAGTGAATTCTGGTTCCTTCTTTGTTTCTTTAGGTGGGTGACGAATGTGGAGCCTTAAACTATGATTTTCTATTCATTGCCCCAGGATTCAATTCTCTGAGATTTTTTTTTCTAGTTTTACGGGCATAAAAATTGTGCTATTGCTCTGACAGGCTGAAATAGTGGCTATCGGTGACTGTATCCAATTAAGCTACTGAATCACTGATGGAATTTGAGAACAGAATACAATGCCCATGTATCTTCAAGCTGCTGTTTGAAGGGAAACGTTATGAATGACATGGTTGCAAGGGTGCAAGTCAGGTTACGCACACGATCAGGGTTTGTACAAGAGGCTGGCAAGAGCACCACTCCTGTTTTCAGATCTGTGATAATGCAAGGCAGTCCTTGACAAATGACCGCAATGAGTTTGCCCATTACAGTCGTCGGCCGTGACAGCTGCCCTAGGGATGGCCCGATTTTGCCACTGGTTTTGTGGTGGTCGTTAAGCCAATGCAGCTGTTGCAAAACGAATGCTATGGTCGTTAGGCAAACGTTTTGTGGGTTTGCCAAAACCGTTGTAAAAGGCGGTCACGTGACAGGACCCCAGCTGGAACTGGTGTGATTACTCCCTTTTTGTAGGCACGTAGCTTGTATCTTTGCATGGTCACTGAGAGGGTGATCATAAAGTCAAGGACCCACTTGTAATGATAACCCTAATATTTTAGCAGTCACGGAAAAGATTTTCTCGCATTTCCATGGTTCAGTTATTCCTGCCAAACATGGTAGCTCTTCCTTCCTTCCTTCCTTCCTTCCTTCCTTCCTTCCTTCCTTCCTTCCTTCCTTCCTTCCTTCCTTCCTTCCTTCCTTCCTTCCTTCCTTCCTTCCTTCCTTCCTTTCCTCTCCTCTCCTCTCCTCTCCTCTCCTCTCCTCTCCTTTCCTTTCCTTTCCTTTCCTTTCCTTTCCAAACTTCAGTTCACCACCTTATGTGATTGAGTGGGCTGTGTGACTGGCTCAAAGTCACCCAGTGAACCTCCATGACTGAGGAGGTTCTACACCTTAACCACTGCACCGCACTGTCAGACTCAGAGGTTCATAGGCAGTGCTCTCCTCTAGATCTTCACGGTTGTACCAAGCCAAAATCAGCAGCAACAGATTCTGACAGGGACTTGTTCTCAAAAACAAGTTCCTTATTCAAGAACTAAGTCTAGAGGCTTAGAAAATGCATATTTTGGTCATTAACTGAAAGTCACCTCTGAATTTGAATCCAACCGTCCCGTGTTGAATAATTTATTTACTGATCAAAAGATTGCATATGCTAGGGCAAATGGAGACGCTGTCAGTTTCAAAAAAACCTGCCTGGCTTTTATCTCCATTTTTAGCATCCATGAATGACAAGATGCTGAAAACCAGTTCCTGAGGAAGCAGCCTACTCTCTCTTTTTTTGTATGTGTGTAATCAGAATAAGGAGGATGATATTTAAAGAACGGGTAGCAGATTTCAACCCACCTTTGGTTTCCAAAGCTAAATGAATTCCTTATTTTTACTTCTTTTTTTTTTCTCTTTTGCTTGCTTCCTGTCATCTTTTACAGTGCCAGGAATGCTGGAATATGAAAGTCTTCAGGGGATTTCGGGCTTAAAACCCACTGGATTTCGGAAACGCTCTTCTAGCATCGATGACACGGATGCTTACACCATGACCTCCATCTTGCAACAGCTCAGCTATTTTTATACCACCCTGTGTCAGAACGGCTTAGACCCGGAGCTTTTAAAGCAGAGCGTGAGGCAGCTTTTCTTTCTGATCGGAGCAGTTACCCTGAACAGTCTGTTTCTTCGGAAAGACATGTGCTCTTGCAGAAAAGGAATGCAAATAAGGTAAACCTGCATTTTGGAGGGAAAAAAACAACAAATAATTAGAACTATAGATTCCTTACTTCGATTTAAGGAGAGGAAAAGGATCTCAAAAGCGACCAACAATTAAAAATACATTGGATTGGATAAGTAAGGTGGGGGCAACATGCTAAGCCGTGATAGGTGTCTTGCTCAACAAACAAAACGGTGCTCATGTGTCCCCAGGACCTGGCAGCTGTCATAAATGTGAGGACCGGTCATCAGTCATTGTTTTCACTGCCATCATAACTTTGGAGGGTCATTAAGCAGAAGTCAGGAATTAACGACTGTGTTCATACAACTTCAAGAGATGGTTGAAGAAACCACACACAAGAAGTTTATGCTCCATGCTAGGATTTGCAAGCAGCGTTGGCTGCATTCACGTAACACGCTACTACATACACAAGTTAAATCCGGTGGTAGTCCCGAGGATTTCAGCTCAGATACTGCCAAACATCTCCTAAAGTAGGGGTCCCCAACCCCCAGTCCGTGGACCAATACTGGGCTGTGGCATGCCAGCAACCGGTCCACACAAACAAGGAAAGCCCCATCCCCAGATTGCAGTCAGCACACAAAACCACGCACCGTTCGGTCTCTCTCCACCGAACCTGTCCCTGGTGCCCAAAAGATTGGGGACCTGTGTCCTAAAGGATATTTGAAATAAAAATGGCCATTTTCTGCTTCATCTCAGGTGCAACATCAGCTACCTGGAAGAATGGCTGAAGGAGAAGAACCTGCAGAGCAGTTCTGCAAAGGAGACATTGGAACCTCTTTCGCAAGCCGCCTGGCTTCTTCAGGTCAAAAAGATCACAGAGGAGGATGCCAAAGAGATCTCGGAGCATTGCGCGACCCTCTCGGCTATGCAGGTATTAAATTAATAAAGGAGGATATTTGTAGCTCAGGGTTGAAATGAGGGGCCCTTGGTGGGCTCTGAGCTTGGTGGTTTTCTTGCAGACATCACATTACCCAACTAGGCAACATCATCAGAGCTAGAAGGGAGTGTGGAGAGGAGGAAGCAGGAGGACTGTGGCGTCCTTGGTGCTCTCTGTGCTTGGTGGTTTTCTTGCAGACATCACATTACCCAACTAGGCAACATCATCAGTGCTAGAAGGACATCTTTGCATGTCAAACAGAGGGCAAATCCCACGCTAAACTTAAGAGAGCACCAAGGACTACTCAGGTATTGAATTCCTTCCTGGATCTGAGTGGTTAATTATTGACTTTGCTTATGGGACATGGGCACTGATTGCACTGTAATTGGCAATCACATGACCACAGGATGCCAAAACATAATTATGAACCAGTTGCCAAGCAATCAATTCAGGGTCATGTGATCCAGGGGGCCCTGATACGTAAGTCTGTCTTGTTCAGCACCCTTGTAACTTCAACTGGTCACGGAAAGACTGGGTGTTAAATGAGGACTACCTGTGTTTTGTTCTTTGATCTTCCCACCATCAGACTCTTCTCTGGCCTTCTTCTTTAGGGCCTCAAATTCAGTTTTACCTACTATGAATGTATCCTATTGTTTGGGAGTTGTATGGTATATTTGTATTAGTTTTATATTTTTGATATGGTCAAATAACTAAATGCATAAAGATTCTATTCTATTCTATTCTATTCTATTCTAATTTTTCTTTTCTTCTATTATTCTATTCTAATTCTATTCTATTCTATTCTATTCTATTCTAATTCTATTCTGTAATTATTCTATTCTGTTCTGTTATGTTCTGTTCTGTTCTATTCCATTCCATTCCATTCTATGTTCTGTTCTACTCTACTCTACTCTACTCTACTCTACTCTACTCTACTCTACTCTACTCTACTCTACTCTACTCTACTCTAGTGCAATTTTGTTTTCTTTTCAAACTGGAGTTTGCAAATCATAATTTCTTTTCATTCTCTCCACAGATAGTAAAAATCCTCAATTCCTACACTCCCATTGATGATTTTGAGAAAAGGATAGCTCCATCCTTTGTTCGTAAAGTCCAGGTATGATTTTTAAATGCAGTACTCTATTTTTCCCCTTCTATTTTTTTTGGTCCTTATTTTTAAATGCCAAAACATCTTGAGATCTCATCTGTTTGGAAAGCAGCGTGTCAATCAAGGATATAGATTAAAAAAAAATTTAAAACCTGCCATCGTGTAATAAACGGCTTTCTATAGGAGAATGTATCCTCATAAAACTTCCTAGACCCACATGTGCATTTGTTAATTTTCTCTTTGTTCTGATTTCAGGGAATGCTGAACAATAGGCAGAATTCCACACAACTGATGCTTGATACCAAATTCCTCTTTCAAGTGACATTTCCTTTTACACCTTCATCACATCCGCTGGAAATGATAGAAATACCCAGCAGTTTCAAACTTGGCTTCCTCACTAGAATATAGTTACAAGAACTAATGCATTATAAATTCTGTTCTGTCCCAGCCTACGTGAGTCTTTGTTATGCTCACAAGGAGGAACCCCTTTTCCAAGAAACAGGCAGGAACCGCAAGAAAAAAACAACCCCTTTCATTCTCACAGACCTGAGTCAATGTCCTTCGGCAACCAGCACCTCCCACACCTTCCCTTTTACAATTCAGCCAAGGCGTGGCTTCCCAATGCTTTCTCCTTTGCCTTTGGAGCTGCCCCATTGCATTCCTCTGTCCTACTCTCTTTTCTTGTGGGCGTTTTCGTGCATCTGGGATTTGTCCCAGCTGTTCTTCATCCCTGTCCAACTCAGACTCCCAGCACAGCTGTGTCTCAGCCTGAGCGCGAGTAGAGGGGCCAGGCTCCTCGTCCGACTGTGAGTCTTGGAGCTCCTCAGAGCCTTCTCTGACTCTGATGTCACTCCAGGCCCCTCCTCCTCCTCCTCTGGTTCCTCAGACTCAGCTGCCGGGTCCACTGGCTGGTGAGGAATCACAACAAATTCACTCTTTCCCAAAGAGCAAACGCAGACTGTTCAGAGATGCTTCCGTATCTCTGTAAATCTTCTGATAACGATACCTACTTTGCAGCACTGATGACATTACCTAGTTCGCTAATGGAATATCTGCAAGAAAACCACCAAGCTCAGAGACCACCAAGGACTCTTCTGTAAAGCTTTTTAAAAATGGGCATTAAGTCTGGGGAAGCAATATAGACTTCAAAAAGTAAGAAATGAAATACTGTATATTTTGTTTTCCTGCCTCAACCCTAGCAACGTTAAGGTATGTGGACTTCAACTCCCAGAATTCTGGCTGATGGGGGGAATTCTGGGAGTTGAAGTCCACACTTCTTAAAGTTGCTAAGTTTGAGAAACACTGCGCTAGATTCCTCCATATTATATTGAGACCGACCTAATTTTAATTTATATATTTATAAATTAAATTTATACATTTATAAATACTTCTATAATGAAGGATTTTTTTTTTCTGTAATGAAGGACTAATGAAGAGCTTATTTTAACCTATGGCATTTGAAACGCAGCTTATAGAATTCCACCACTGTAAATAGCCGGACGAAGATCATAAATTTTGTTGGATCTTTTGTGTGTGCATGGCATGTGTATAATGACAGACGGTGTCACAGATGAGAGTATTCCACTAGATAGCGTGTCAAGTCATTGCCAGACAGATAAGCTAACTTCCTACTTAGCTTTTTTTAGATCATCCCAAACTGGCTCAATGTGTATCTGTTACAACTTTCATCATTCAAAAAAAAAAAAATTAAAATTAAAAAAAAATCCTTTGTATATGACAGTGGCGGCAAGACCTTTAAATGCAAAAAGTAGAAAGATACATAATTCCCACAACTCAAATCAAATCAAATCAACCTTTATTGTCAAAGTGCAACATGTGTACAATGAGTTTGGCTGAGCCTCCCTTCGTGCACCCCCCCGACACAACTCACAGTGACAACAAACCCATCATCTTACTACACCAGTGTTTCTCAACCTTGACAATTTTAAGGCACGTGGACTTCAACTCCCAGAATTCCACAGCCAGCAATGCTGTGGAATTTATTGCACAACGCGCCAATCCCGCAAGTCTATCATATATGGAGTTATTTCTCATTCAGGAGTCTGATAGCCCATGGGTAGAAACAGTTCTTCAGCCTGTTGATGCGGCTGGCTATGCTTCTATATCTCCTACCCAATGGTAGGAGAGTAAAGAAGTGCCGACCAGGGTGTGAGTTGTCTCTGAGGATTTTCCTCACTCTTCTAAGAGTGGAATTTGAAATCAATGGAAATGGTACGGTAGAGATGGCAAAAGTGACTACTTTGGTAAAAGAGAAAAATAATCCAGTTTTGTTTTACAGTGGTACCTTGGTACTTATCCATAATTGGTTCTGGGAGGTGCAGTGAGTGCCAAAAATGATGAATACCAAATAAAATTTTCCCATAAGGAATGTAGTGAGTCACAAGGCAGCTGACACCAATGAAGTCCTAGCTTGTGCATTGAGTACCAAACAAACAACGAGTACCAGGACAAAATTTTCACATCAAAATGTATCAAGTACCAAATCTATTGAGTTTCAAAGCCGTTGAGTACCAAGGTACTCCTGTACGTGGAAACCATTTTGGGGCTTCTTGCCTGAGAAAAATAAAAATGAAGGTTTGATTTTAGGATTCAGTGTTAAGATTTGTTATGATTCCAGAAATATTGTGTATTATTATTCTTACTAGACATGTATACACATATACATGCATTTGTATATTTTTTTTCTTTCTGTTTAAACCGAAGAGTAAAGGGTGTTTGTGATATATAATTCTAAAGCTATTTGATTAATTTGTACACTTTTATATAATGTTTGTTTTTGTTTTAACTTAAGAGTAAGGAGTTACTTTATATTTGTATCTGTACTGAAGAAACTCTGAAGTCAGTCCCTGTTTTTTCTCGTCATTTTTTAACCTTTCCCCCCTTTTGATCTCCTCTCCCCTAATTTTTCCTTTTCTGTTGTTTTGTAATTTATCTTTTTTTGGGGGGGAAATTTAATAAAAGTTCTTTTTTAAAAAATAATTCTTTGAAGGTGAAAAAATAGCCGAGAGGTTTCCACCCTCAGCCTCCTTTTCATATCTAAGTTACAAACTTCTTCGCATGAACTGATGGTGTTAATCATTCCTGGTGAAACACGGATCTTAATTCAAGAGGTCCCAATTTCTCTCTTGGGTTCTCAGAAGGTTTTTTTTTTTCAAACCTTGGAGGATTTCAGGGGAAAAGATGCAAACACAGTACAGATCAGGGGTCTTCAAACTTGGTCCTTTTATGACTTGTGGACTTCAACTCCCAGAATTCCTCAGCCAGGCACGCGTGCCTGGCTGAGGAATTCTGGGAGTTGAAGTCCACAAGTCATAAAAGGACCAAGTTTGAAGACCCCTAGTATAGATCAACAGATATTTGCATGGGAACAGCCTCTTTGTGAGTTAAAAACCACATTCACCCATGTTGGCTAGATGAGGAATGGCGAACCTCCCACATGGCCAGTGTTGAGGGCATGGCAGAGGTTCAAAATCTGAAACTTGAGGCCAAAGAAAGGAACATATTCCAGCCCTATTGAACGATCCATTTCCTAGAATTTTCTTTAACTGTTTCAAACCGGTCTCTGGAACTTCAACCAGCATTACAAGATCGTTCTATATATATTACAGGGTTGGTAAATCCCTCTAAGCAGATTAAATCAGCCTTAAATTCTTCCGCCTGCATTTTAAATAGCCCACCGATTAGCTTGTTGCATTCCTAACACTTCAAGGTATTGCTGTGGGCGAGAAAAGGTAAGAAATACCCTTAGTGTTTTTGATTACAAATCTAAATTTATCTATAGAGTAATGCTGAAGTGTTTTTCAATAACATCTGTTTTGTTGTTGGTTGGGCTTGGTACCTTACTTCTCCTGGCAAGCCTTCTCAAAGTGACTTTAAATAAAAACATTACGTGGCAAGAATTGTAAAGGGGTTGCAAGAGGAAGAATTGAACGTCTAAGGTCCTCTAATGCCTATAAATAAAACCGATGTTTTCAAAGTCTTGTTTTACTTACAAGGCAGGTGTATTTGTACGCAGTAAATGAAAGCTGGGACATGACCATTGAAATAAAGACAAGGATAGAGAAAGCTCGAACAGCATTCTTCAAAATGAAAAAGGTCTTCTGCAGTCACGACATAAGCCTAAGACTGAAAATCAGGCTTATGGAGTAGAGAGTTGGTATCTGACAGAAGGCCACCTGAAGAGACTAGAAGCATTTGAAATGTGGATTTACAGGTGGCTGTTACGTAGAAGCTGGGTTGACAAGATCAGAAATGAGGTGATAAGCCGCCTGGGAAAGCCAAGGAAAATCATCAAAACAATTAAAAAACGAAAATTAGAATATTTCGGACATGTGATGCGACACCCAGAAAAACACGGCATACTCCATTTAATCCTCCAGGGAAAGATTGAAGGCAAACGAGGTCCAGGCAGAAGAAGAACATCGTGGCTTCAAAATCTAAGGGACTGGTTTGGACAAAACTCAGCAGCACTTTTTTGTGCGGCTGCTGATAAAAACAGGACCGCCAGCATGATCGCCAACGTCCGATAACGGATATGGCACAAGAAGAAGAAGAAATGGCTTTAATTATATTTAAGTTTTAATTGTGTAATGGATTTTTAAAAGTTGTATTTCTAATTGTTCTGCTGTACACCACCTAGGGCCACATTCATGAGGTGGGCGGTTATATACATTTGATAAATGAAATAAAAGTAGTGGGTTCACTTTCATTTCTCCTACTATAAATTCTTTAGTCTTTCTTGGGCATCAGCAGATGGCCGCTCGCCAGGCTAAGTTAAAAAATGGTGCACAGAAAGAAAGTGAAAAAAAAAGGAAAGAGAAAGGAAAAGTTATAGAGAGCTGCTTCCAATCTTCACAGAAATTATAAGTACATTTATATTTTACCTCTAAAATTACAACATAATTTTCTTCGTACCATAGTCTGTCCTTTCTAATCATCAAATCTCTCAATCACGTTTTTTTCTCTTTTTTCAGCAAAAAGTCTATAAAGGATTTCCAATCACTAATAAATTTAGTTATAGTCTCTGATCAACCAGCTTCCTGTTTTTTATCTTTCTTTTTCTTTCTTTCTTTCTTTCCTTCTTTCTTTTTCTTTCTTTTTAATAATAATAATAATAATAAAGTTGGAAGGGACCTTGGAGGTCATCTGTTCCAACCCCCTGCTCAGGCAGGTAACCCTATACCATATCGGACAAATGGCTGTCCAGTTTCTTCTTAAAAACCTCCAGTGTTGGAGCATTCACAGCTTCTGGAGGCAGGTTGTTCCACTGGTTAATTGTTCTAACTGTCAGGAAGTTTCTCCTTAGTTCGAGGTTGCTTCTCTCTTTGGTTAGTTTCCATCCGTTGCTTCTTGTCCTGCCTTCAGGCGCCTTGGAGAATAGCTTGACTCCCTCTTCTTTGGGGCAGCCCCTGAGATACTGGAACACTGCTATCATGTCCCCCCTCGTCCTTCTCTTCGTTAAACTAGACATACCCAATTCCAGCAGCTAGCTAGCTTGCTTTCTTTCTTTCTTTTTCTTTCTTTCTTTCTTTCTTTCTTTCTTTCTTTCTTTCTTTCTTTCTTTCTTTCTTTCTTTCCTATCTATCTATCTATCTATCTATCTATCTATCTATCTATCTATCTATCTATCTATCTATCTATCTATCTATCATCTATCTATTTAAAGTCACAAAGAAAGCTGTCCCTGTCACTTCCACTCTTCTCTCTTTCAGCTACCTGCAAGGATGTGTGACCAAACCTTTGCGCTCAATATTTTTGGGCCGTGCGACATTTGTAACAAAGAGAAAGTTCTCCAGCAAATATACTGCAAATCGGAGAAACGCAGCTGCTGTTCGTTCTGCATAAAACAGGTACGGCCTGCAACTGTTTGAAGGCTGTTTGGTGGGAATTCAGTGGATCTAGTGGGGTTCCCTTCTATTTTGGGTGCATCCGGAGACAAAAAAAATAAATGACCCAGCTCCACTCTATATCCAACTCCACATAGATCTTGTCCCCTCCATTAACTAGACTGCAAAAGTCATCATCCCTGGCTAACCAGTGAGGCATGATGTAGTTCTCCACATCTGGAGAATTGTTCCAGAGGGACCTTCTTTTCCTCTGCTATGAATCTTCTGGGAACTGAAATCAGGGGATACAGAGAGCAAGTTGGTTTGCAAACTTCAGAATTCTTCCTTTCTTTGAACTTGTATAAAACTTACTTCCTTCCTTCCTTCCTTCCTTCCTTCCTTCCTTCCTTCCTTCCTTCCTTCCTCCCCTTCCCCTTCCTTCCAGATTTCTTGAACAGCCTTTCCTGGAATTCCCCCTTGGCTCTGCCAGGAGTGCCTGGTTGGAGAAGATCCAGCCATTCCAGCCCGTCCCTCCCTAAGCCTTTATGGGGCAGCCTTCCCCAAATGGGTCCTCCCCTCCCACCCTTGGTCAGATGCCACCGGGGTTCCCTCAAATTGGCCAGCCTGCAGGGGAAGCCTGGAAAGCTGCCCCTTCCAGCTGGTGGCACCCCATCTACCTGACCTCTCCCTTTGCCCTGCTAGCAGAGTGGAGGATGGGAGTAGTACCAACAAAGGCGAATATTTGTAGCTCAGGGTTGACATGAGGGGCCCTTGGTGCTCTCTGAGCTTGCTTAGTTTTCTGGCAGAAGTTTCCTGACCCAAACTAGGTAACATCATCGGGACTAGAGTTTGTGGAGTGGAGGAGGAAAGCTACGGGGTCCTTGGTGCTCTCTGAGTTTGCTTAGTTTTCTTGCAGACATTTCAGGATCCATCTAGGCAATGTCATCAGCGCTAGAAGGGAGTGGGGTTTGTGGACAGGAGGCGGAGGAGGAGAGGTGTGGGGTCCTTGGTGCTCTCTGAGCTTGCTTAGTTTTCTTGCAGACATTTCATTATCCAAACTAGGTAACATTATCAGTGTTAGAAGGAAGAAGGGTGGGAGGTGGTGGAGGAGGAGAGGTGTGGGGTCCTTGGTGCTCTCTGAGCTTGCTTGTTTTCTTGCAGACGTTTCATTAGCCAAACTAGGTAACATCATCAGTGTTACGAGAGGGGTTTGTAGAGAAGAGGAGGAGGAGGAGGAGGAGGAAGGCTCTGGGGTCCTTGGTGCTCTCTGAGCTTGCTTAGTTTTCTTGCAGACGTTTCATTAGCCAAACTAGGTAACATCATCAGTGTTAGAAGGGAGAGGGGTTTGTGGAGAGGAGGTGGAGGAGGGCTCTGGGGTCCTTGGCGTTCTCTGAGCTTGCTTAGTTTTCTTGCAGACGTTTCCTGACCCAGGGTCGGGAGCTGTAGTCCTAGGGCGCATCTGGAGGGCGCAGACGCAGAGAAGGCTGCGCGGGGCTTCCACTCTTCCTCCATCAATCGGTGGATGCCGCCGCCGCCGCCGCTGCCGCGCGCTCCCGAGAGGGCTGCCCCGGCTCGGCGGGGGCGGAGGCTCCTCCTTCTCCCCCCTTCCTCCTTCCTCCCGTCCCCTCCCCTCCCCATCCTCCCCTCCCCATCCCCGCCTGGCTGGCTGGCTGGCTGGCTGGTTGACTGGCGCGCTCCTCTCTCTCCCCTTCTGGCCAAGATGGCAACCGAGGGGCTGCAGGAGAAGGAGAGCCTGGCCGTGCTCAAGACCGAGGCGGAGAGTCTCAAGGGCAAGCTGGAGGAGGAGAGGGCCAAGCTGCACGACGTGGAGCGTGAGTCGGGGCCGGGCCGGGCCGGGCCGGGCGGGCTGCGCCCCGGGCATCGCCGGAGGGAAGCAGGCGGGCAGGCAGCTGGGCGCCGCCTCTCCTGCAACCCCGGGCGGGGCGCAGCGGGAACCGGGTCCCTCCGGGGCAGCCCCGGGCGGGGAAGGGGCGCCGCCCCGGCCATGCCCCCCTCGCGGATGCCGGGCTGGCCGGCGTAAACAACGGGCTCCGCTGGGTGGAGACGCCGAAGAGATGCCCGGCCAAGCCCCAAAGCAGCGGCGGGCCAAGGGGGCATGGGAGGGGGCTCCCATGGGTCATGGGGGGGGATGAGGAAGAGAAGGGCCCCCTCCCTTCCTGCCTGCTTTTTGCCCCCCCCCCCCGGTCTCCTGCCCTTCTCCTCCCGCCGGCCAGAGAAATGGGGCTCCGGCGCCCTAGAAACGCTCCAGCCCTGCCTATTTGCAACCTGGCGCCCTCGAGATGGCCCGGAGCCCGGGCGGTCTGGGGGCGGCAGCTCATATATGGTTGGTGGGCAGCTAACTAGGTTTGGGCGAGGCTGGGCTTGCAAACTGCTGTTTCTTGGGGAGGGGGGGGAGTCGCCTTGCAATCAACCCTCCAAGCACCCCTGGATTTGGGGAGGGGGAGTTTGGAGCCTTGTTGTTTTTCCGCTCTGCAGAGACCAGGATCTGCCACCCAGTAAAAGAAAAAGCTTTGAACTTGGCTGGAGTTGTTAACGGTTGCCATGAATATGCTTGCATAATTCGAGGGTGGATGGGTGGGAATCATAATCTATTTGAATTATAATGTATTAAAAAGTTCATGCTGCCCAACTACAGCAATTCTGGACAACAGAATAACCATATCGGTTAGAAGGGACCTTGGAGGTCTTCTAGTCCAACCCCCTGCTCAAACAGGAAACCCTCTACCAGTGGTTCTCAACTTTTTCTTCCCCACAGACACCCCCCCCCTTTAAATATCTTTTGTGGCCACAGACCACCAAGACTTAACTCAAGATTTAAAGCACTGGACAGGATCCCTGTGATGACATCACACACATACACATGGGGTCCACGGACCACAGATTGAGAACCACTGTCCTGTACCATTTCAGACAAACGGAGGGCAAAAATAGATGAAATTGTGTCTCACTTCCTTCTGTAAGGACTACATGGGCTGTCATTCTATCACCACCGCAGTCCAGTGACAGGAACTAGGTTGAGCCGAGTGGACCTCCCTAGTCATCTTCCTCGACTCATCCCCTCCAGATGTGTCCAGCACCAACTGTCCAATCCTTAGCCAGCTGTGGCTGAGAGTTGACCAACATATCTGGAGGGTGTAGACCTGCAAAAGGCTGACAACTGACCTCACTAGGGTTGTTGGCGGTGCGAAAAATAGGAGGAGGAAAGGGTATTACATGCATTTGTAACCTTGAGTTATTTATAAAAACAATAAAGGCAGGATTTAAAAAAAAAAATCTTTAAAAATCCCAGAATTCCCTAGCTAGCATTTTGATTTCAATTCCCAGAATTCCCCAGTCATCTCAGAATTCCTCAGTATCACTGGGAACTCTGGGAATAGAAGTCCAGACATCCTCAAATTGCACTATTAGACTTTTTGACAAGGATTTTACAAAAAGTCCTTGGCCCTATAATAATAATAATAATAATAATAATAATAATAATAATAATAATAATAATAATAATAAAGTTGGAAGGGACCTTGGAGGTCATCTAGTCCAACCCCCTGCTCAGGCAGGAAACCCTATACCATTTCAGACAAATGGCCTCGGAGTCTGAATCTAAAGCTGCCTTACTTGCTTTTCTCAGCCAATGCATTTTATTTTCCTTGGGTTGTTAAACTTTTCAGATGCATGGACCAGTTTGAGGACTCATATCGAGTGCAGGGCATTCCAGCCAAAAGGGGGGGGGGAGGCTTAAGAGAAGTTTATTCCTGTCCCCTTTGTTGTGTCCATTTTTCTTTCCCAGTGAAATAAATGCATTCCACTGATATTTTTTTATCTTCCAAGGAACTCTGACATTTTTAGAGTCTTTGGCCTTGAACAATGGGGTCAAAACCCACCGGGTCCTCCAAGGCTTGGTGAACCTGTTTCCCAGAGTAGAAAAGTAGGGGATGCTTTAAAAATTCCCGACTCCTTCACCAATATTTGGCTTTCTAGCAGACGGGAATCAGCTTTGCATGCCTGCAAGAGAGAGACCTATTTCTGTTCTTCCAAAAATATAAAGAGAAAGCTTCTTTGGGATGCTAGCGGTTGCTTTTTGAACGGCTAATCCATCAACGGGAGGATTAAAGAGGCAGAAATGGGTTGCCTGAATGATAGCCAAATAAGTCATAAGGCACCGGCTCGTCAGTACTGGGTTCAGGAGTCCTGCCAAAGAAACAACCCTGCCAGCAAAAGACAGAGGCCAGTTGTGGGAGTTCAAAGCCTGTTTGGCCCATAAGTGCTCCATTTGTGCAAAAGAGGAATCTGTCCTGGAACTTGTCAAGGATGCGCTGGGAGCAAAACCAGCCTGCTTGCAAAAAAAAAAATAAAATCTGAATTCAGCTTTTTTTTTTTTTTTAACTGGCCCTCTCGTTTGGAAGCGTTTTTGGAAAGCAGAGTGAAATTTTCCGACTGGCTTTTGAAGCTGTCTGTCAAGTGCCTGTGTGAATGGCCGTTGCTTCTTTAACTGCAGTTTTAAGAAGGTTTGATGTGGTTTTAATGGGGCTCTTTTTTTTAGGATGAGAATTGATGCTTTTTAAAGAAGCTTATTCTCTTCCTAGTACAGAGGATAGCTCCTAAAAGACAGCATTTTACCAGTAGTAGTAGTAATAATAATAATAATAATAATAATAATAATAATAATAATAATAATAATAATAATAAAGTTGGAAGGGACCTTGGAGGTCATCTAGTCCAACCCCCTGCTTAGGCAGGAAACCCTATCCCATTTCAGACAAATGGCTGTCCAGTCTCTTCTTTAAAACTTCCAGTGATGGAGCATTCACCACTTCTGGAGGCAGGTTGTTCCACTGGTTAATTGTTCTAATTGTCAGGAAGTTTCTCCTTAGTTCTAGGTTGCTTCTCTCCTTGATTAGTTTCCACCCGTTGTTCCTTGTCCTGCCTTCAGGCGCCTTGGAGAATAGCTTGACTCCCTCTTCTTTGGGGCAGCCCCTGAGATATTGGAATACTGCTATCATGTCCCCCCTCGTCCTTCCCTTCATTAAACTAGACATAAATATGGCTGTATTGGTTTAGGACAGGGGTCTCCAAACTTGGCAGCTTTAAGATCTGTGGACTTCAACTCCCAGAATTATTCTCCTAAACCAGACCTGTGGACTTTAACTCCCAGAATTCCCCAGCCAGCATGGCTGGGAGTTGAACTCCACAAGTCTTAAAGTTGCCAAGTTTGGAGACCCCTAGTTTAGGAGAATTAATGGTGCAACATAAAAGGACCAGCCGTATCCAGAATTCCAACGAGGTTGATTGCCCAACTTGATGAAGAGAGTTGTAGAATTTGAAAAATTGGACACGGTGGGATTTTGTTGGACCTAATAAAAGAATTCTCCAAAGGTCTGTAATAAGTAAATAAAAATCTACTTTCTGAAAGGCAACGGGCATAAAAGATCCCAGAAATCCTTTAAGTCCTTTCCCCTCAAATTTGCAGTATTCCTCTGCACAGCGGGACTGGTAGACCATGTCTTCTGCTTTTATAAGAGAGCAAGTCCACATACAACACGAGAAATGCGCAAAGGATCTCACAGATAATTGAAAGCATCTCCCAAAAGTTTAGTTTTAAATTAACACAAAAAAGAGAAAGAAGGAACGAAGGGAAAAAAAGATGTCCACTTCATTAACAACTCTGTGGGTGACTCGCAGCTACCATCGTCGTTCCTCTATCCACCCTACTTCACAGTAGGAAAGGTGAGAGAACAATCATGTGGGCCAACCTGAGCCTCTTTTAGATGAACGTGTGAATAAATAAAATTGAATAGTGCTTCTACTTCTAGAGGTTGGAAATTGCAAGAAAACAACCCTTGCAGAATTCCACGTTTGCTTAGAAATAAGTTTGTTCTTGTTCTCTGGTGCTGCGGCCAATACATGTTGAGTTGATGATCAATGGTAGGCAGCTAGGTACTTCATTCCTGGTTAGATTTCCATAATTCCCAGTCAAAGGTCATTCTGGCTAGAGCAGGGGTAGGCAACCTTGGCTCTTTTATGACTTGTGGACTTCAATTCCCAGAATTCCTGAGCCAGCATGGCTCAGCTTGGAAACCTCTCCCTTTTCCCTCAGCTTGCCTGGCTCAGGAATTCTGGGAGTTGAAGTCCACGAGTCACAAAAGAGCCAAGGTTGCCTCCCCCTGGGCTAGAGATTAAGAATCCTAAAGTCCAAACATACCTAGAGAATATCAGGTGGGGGGGGAATTGTTTTTCACTTGATCCAATTACTTTTCAGTGCAGTTGTGGTTCTAAAGGTGGAAATCAAAGACCGGGTCTTTGAATAGGTGAGGTTATCCATCTTTTTTGGTCCTTGCTCTGGATGCAAACAGGCCCACTTCATTTCCCTGGGTTCACACTGCTTCCCCAGGACTTCTGCTAATCCCCTTCTTAGCTTGGATTTCTTGCATGGGATCCTGATTTGGGCCTGCTTCAAGTGGTGGCTCTGGGGTCAATGCCGCTGTGAATTTCTCGTAGTGCACCAGGTGGCGGAGCGCGTGGAGGCTTTGGGACAGTTTGTGATGAAAACACGGAGGACCCTGAAAGGCCATGGGAATAAAGTCCTCTGTATGGATTGGTGCAAGGACAAAAGAAGAATTGTCAGCTCATCCCAGGTAACAGGAGTTTTTATTTGTTTATATTGTCTTTTCAGCTTCTTTCGAGACTGTGGCAGCTTGAAGCTGTGTGGGCTTCTCAACAACTCCCAGCATACATCTTCAAGTTTCCAAGGTTGAGAAACACCTAGTCTAGACCAGGCGTAGGCAACCTTGGCTCTTTTATGACTCGTGGACTTCAACTCCCAGAATTCCTGAGCCAGCCATGCTGAGGGGAAAGGGAGAGGTTTCCAAGCTGAGCCATGCTGGCTCAGGAATTCTGGGAGTTGAAGTCCACGTGTCATAAAAGAGCCAAGGTTGCCTACCCCTGGTCTAGACCAATGCTTCTCAGCCTTTTGTATCTTCTGTCTCACCCATCCTCTCTGTCAAAGAATTGACGTTCCAGCAGAATAGAAACCAAGTACCCTTTTTTTCCTAAGAAGGACATGTATGTCTACAATCAGTTCATTATTATCTCTATTGTTCAGGGTGAATACATGCTATAGAATACGTTTTATCATGCTCTCCAGGGTTGATGCTACAGCAAGACTCCTTGTCATAAGCGCAAAAGCTGAAACAAAGGGAACCTGGAGGTCTTAAGTCATGCTTTGTCTAGACTCTAGAGCCAACAGCCTAACAAGGACCAGTTAGTCTGATTGTGATGGAGGTGAAAATCTCCCTGAGGTTCTCCCTTTGGATGGAGAAATGCTTGGCCAGTTGAGATGTCCATCTAGATAAGCATGGTTTGCTCTGGGCTGGAACTGGATCCTGTTTCTGGCCTCACAGCTGAGTAGGAGTAGGAATAAAAAGGTTCACGGTGATTAAGAATAGCATGGGAAGCTCCAAAGAAAAACCATTGGTGGTGGCCAACCAAAGCCCACTTGATGTACACCAGGGGTCACTCATGAGTCATGGCGACATCATGGGATAACAATGCCACCTTCCTTGACTGCCACTAAGATCAGATTGATTAAGGCAGAATATCTAGGCTGACTTCATGGTGATATCTCAAAAGGGTTTACTTTTGTCTAGACTTGATGTATCTTTGGAAAGTTGACACACTATCGGTTTAATTAAGTCATGTCTCCTCTGCCTCATAAACTCCTGTAATTATAGGCAGAAGGTGTAAGCAGAATTCATAGTGGACTCAATTGCGGTGTCGCTTCAAAATAAATTCACACGTTTCAGAGTGTTTAATTTTTCCTTCTTTAGGATGGGAAGGTGATTGTTTGGGATGCCTTCACCACCAATAAGGTGAGTTGCTTTACAACATCAAGATGGTGTACACAGTCTGAAGGATCTGTTTGATGGGGGAGACGGGAGAAAAAGCGCATCCTATTTTGTCTTTCATTGCATTGATGCGTAAGGATGAAGATCCCAAATTTTGGCTAGGGCCTAATGATATCCACCAAATTTGTGGTTGGTATTGTAGGAATTGGCTGTGTTTTGCCCTGGGGTCTTTTCTTTTAACATCTCAGTGAGTTTTCCAGATCAGAGTCCCTTGTCCAGTGGCAAGGCTAGGTCAAATGTTGGCTTAGGACAGTGGTGGCTAACCTTTTAGAGACCGAGTGCCCAAACTGCAATTCGAAACCCACTTATGCATCGCCGGGTGCCAGGTGCATGGCCACCGAGTGGGCATGGCTATGGTGGTCATGGCAGCATGGGTGGGTGTGGCACATGTGCAGCTTTGTGGAGAGCTGTGCATGCGTGGAGAGGAGGAGGGAGCAGCTCTGCCCAGCAAAGGCTTGCGTGCCACCAGAGACGGCTCCGCGTGCCGCCTGTGGCACGCATGCCATAGGTTCACCACCACGGGCTTAGGAGTAGCAAAGAATGCTTTGTATTTCAGGAGCACGCGGTGACAATGCCATGCACATGGGTGATGGCGTGTGCATATGCTCCATCTGGATGCGCCATTGCATGTGGGTAAGCAGAAGCCTCTTTAACATGAGATATTTGAAAACCAGTGTTTTGATCATGACAAATGATGCTATCTCTTCTCTTAAACCGATTGGTTCCAAAATGGAATTTTTTTTAATATTGGCTGGATTTTAATATTGGTTGTAAGAGAAATGGGTTGGCTGCATGAATATATTAATGCACATTAATAGTTTTATCTTGCCTCTATGGGCACTATCTGAAAACGTCAAAATAACGTATATACCCTAATGGAATGGTGTAAACCCCCTCCTTCGGTAAAATAACCAAGCCCAAATAAAAAACAGGTAGAAGAACAAGCAGGAGGAGACCCATCATCATTAAGTTTCAAAAGCTTGCCTGAATACGATTATATTCACAATTACATTCAGGCAGACTTCAAACGAGATCTGGGAAATGAATGGGCCAGACCCACCTCTGGAGATACCGTATACCAGGGCTATCACTTAGAAGATCTGTTTTTCTTTTATATTTAGTTACAGTGGTACCTTGGTACTCGTTGTTAATTGTTTTTGGGAAGCACAACGAGTACTAAAAATAAGTTCCAAACTAACCGTGTGACTTAACCCGTGACCCTTTGTTTTGGCCAGAAAGGGTAGCGAGCGATGAGCCAGCCAGTGCTGACAACTTCTAGCTTGTGCGTTGAGTACCAAACAAACAAGTTCTGGGACAAAATGTTTATGTCAAAATGCGTTGAGTCCCTAATTTGATGACTTTCAGAGCATCAAGTACCAAGGTACCACGGTATTTAGAAGTCACCTTTCCAGCAGTTGACCCTCAAGAGAACTTTCAGCAAATGTAATGCAATGATTACCAGTTAATTAAACAATATTTACAAACAGAGTAGGAGGCCTCTAGAACAGGGGTCCTCAACCTTGGCAACTTTAAGACTTGTGGACTTCAACTCCCAGAATTCCTCAGCAAAGCTGGCTGAGGAATTCTGGGAGTTGAAGTCCACAAGTCTTAAAGTTGCAAAGGTTGAGGACCCCTGTTCTAGAAGGACCTCTCATGATGCGTCTTCTGAAGACTTCTTCGGGAAATGAGATAATGGAGGAGATGACTCTCCATATCTTACATCTCAGATTGTTCAGGAATTTGAAGTTCCAGTCTCCAACTTTCAATTTAGTCCAGAATAAATTGATAATCCAGGAGCTTTGAGGGGTTCAAGGTTGCAGGTCCCATATAACTAGCATTGTTCAGATACACCAGCAAGATTAAATAGGTTGGTTTTATTACCCAGCCTGAAAAGGGGGTGGTCCAGCTGATTATTCAAAATACTGAGCTATATTTTGGAAAAGACTCTTTTGTGCAGTGGGGGGAACTAGGACACTTGCTACCATGGACAACTTTCTCAAAGAGATCCTGGGCAGAATACTCTGGTGATATTTTCAAAAAAGAATTTCCTTCTCTTTTTTTTTACTCCTGTTTTTAATCTAGTGGTCTGGATAACAAATGCTCTGTATACCCTCTGACCTTTGAAAAAAACGAGAACATGGCCGCTAAGAAGAAATCGGTCGCTATGCATACTAACTACTTGTCAGCTTGCAGTTTCACTAATTCTGACATGCAGGCAAGTACATCCAACCTGCCGTTCGTGGTTACTCTTTAAATTGGAAAAAAAGGTTTTGTAGTTTAGAGTGAGCGTGGTTTTCCTCAATCCCTGTAAAGACGCTCGTTTGTTTCCTTTGGGGTAGAAATGGCTAAAATATTCTTTATGCTTCATAGAGAAAAATCAGAGTCACCCCTTTCTTGTCCCACAGAACTGAAGTCCAACTAATAAGCGCACCTATTAGGCAGCATACTAAAAAGCAGAGACATCACCCTGCCAACAAAAGTGTGTATAGTCAGGGCCATGGTTTTCCCAGTTGCAATGTATGGCTGTGAAAGTTGGAGCATAAGAAAGGCTGAGCGCCAAAGAATTGAGGCCTTTGAGCTATGGTGCTGGAGAAGACTCCTGAGAGTCCCCTGGACTGCAAGGCGATCAAACCGGTCAGTCCTAGAGGAGATCAACCCCGACTGCTCTTTAGAAGGCCAGATCCTGAAGTTGAAACTCAAGTACTTTGGCCACCTAATGAGAAGGAAGGACTCACTGGAGAAGAGCCTAATGCTGGGAAAGATGGAGGGCAATAGAAGAAGGGGATGACAGAGGATGAGGTGGCTGGATGGAGTCACTGAAGCAGTAGGCGTGAGCTTAAATGGACTCCAGAAGATGGTAGAGGACAGGAAGGCCTGGAGGAACGTTGTCCATGGGGTTGCGATGGGTCGGACACAACTTCGCAGCTAACAACAATATCCTTCCCCCCCCCAATAAAAAAATATGGAAATGCAAATTGCAAACTTTGGAAATTCCCCCACTCAATTTGTGGATAGAAAAGTTGGCTGATGGTTTCTCCATAGTTCTTCAGGAAGAGAGGTTCTCCAGCAATTTCTCAAGACAGAATGTTGGAGGTCATTCTACTGCTGGAGAACCCCAGTGAGAAGTGTCTCTGGAGACTCTCGGTCATCCAAGTCATGGCTTGTCCCAAGGGTGCTTTTTCAAGAGGCAACTGGACTTTGTTTTTGTTTGAAGACATCTTGCTTCTCATCAGAGGAGCGTCTTCCGTTCTGAACTGAAACGTCTTCAGGGAAAAACAGAGAAATTCCAGTTGCCTCTTGGAAAAGCACCTTTGAGACAACCCCATGAGAAGATTCTCATATTTGTCTCCTCTTGGGACTGAATGAAACCAGGGAAGGCAACGGACCAAGGAAGAAACGATGGTAGGAGGATGTTCATATAACCTCCTCCCCCGTTTTCTTGCTAAATTCAGTGATGCTCCACTTAACATTCTCTTTTTCTCAGAAAGAAATGCCCAAGGTGCTTTTGGTGCAAAATTGAGCACAGTGTTAGATTTCTTTCAGAGTGCTAGCGAAATATCAGCTTGAGCGGAGTCTATTCTGGGATGTGAGAGGCTTCAGAGGAAATTGCTATTTCCCACTCCGCTGTTTCCAGGAATAAGCCCAAGATGACGGTGCAAGTCTATTGCCATGGAAACCGGCATCACCCATCTACCTGGGGTGCTCTTGGTATATCAAACTGTAGCCTTGAGAGAGAGGCGGCTGGTGGAAGAATTAAAACAAATGCAATGCAGCATCAGGACACTGTAAATAGTATGAATCCCAACCTTACTTTTGGAGGTGTTTTAGGAAGTGGCCTATAAGCAACGAGGACCCACTGAAAAGAAAGTTTTGGATAAAAAGGCCTCCAGGCAACCTCGGCTCTTTTATGACTCATGGACTTCAACTCCCAGAATTCCTCAGTCAGCATAGCTGACTGAGGAATTCTGGGAAGTTGAAGTCCATGAGTCCATGAGTCATAAAAGAGCCGAGGTTGCCTACCCCTGGTCTACACATTGGCCTCTTTCATCAGCGAAATTCCTATATAATGGATGGAACTTGCTCTGATTTGCTGCTCCCATTTCAAACAGGAATTGTATCCCATTGCTTCTTAAATCAATTGTCAGCATGCAGCCCCATTACGGCAGATAAAGCTCTTACATATCTGAGTTTGATTTAATCCCAGTGTTGACTGCACAGACGGGGGAACAAAAGACCAAAACACTCTTTGTATTTTGTTAACACTGATACAGGTTGCTCTCCGAATTCATGAAGACCTAGCCCTTGGTAGATTTGCCACCCCCCCCCACTCCCCACAGGATTTTCTGATGTATTTTGTCAGGAAATATAGATAGGGCGGGCTGAAAAAGTCAGCACCCTCCTAAGCATACCGATGCGCTCCAAATCCGTTGGCGATGTCTGTTTTTCTCTCTGAATTCATGGAGACCTAACCCTAAATTCAAATGGGGGTTTGTCCCCCAATGGGATTTTCCCATGTATTTTACCAGGAAACGTAGATAGGATCCCCTCCTGAACATACCGATGGGTTACAAATGCGTTTTGCTCTCTGAGTTCATGGAGACCTGATTCTCCTTTTGAAGGATGATAGAGCTTAAATGGACTCCAGAAGATGGTAGAGGACAGGAAGGCCTGGAGGAACGTTGTTCATGGGGTCGCGATGGGTCGGACACGACTTCACAACTAACAACAACAACCCTCTCTTAACTCCACTCCCAGGCTCTGGCTCTTATTCCTCTACAGTTGAAGACTAAAGATTTAGTAAATCAATTAATTTAGGAGATTTACAGTCCTTTCATATGAATCAAAAGACTGTGTGATGGGGGTTTGGTGAATGAAGAAGCCAAGGGAATGCATGATTTGATGCAAGTTACTTGAATGGCCTCTGGTTTTCTTTTTTTCCTTCTCCCCTCCCCCACCCCCCAAAGATCTTGACTGCAAGTGGTGATGGTACCTGTGCCCTCTGGGACGTTGAAAGTGGGCAGCTTCTACAGAGTTTCCACGGACATGGGGCAGATGTCTTGTGCCTGGATCTTGCTCCTTCGGAAACAGGGAACACATTTGTGTCGGGGGTAAAGTAGGCTTATTTTTTTATGCAGGCTGGGGATCAAAGGGGTCTAGGTTTCACTTAGTGACCACTTTGCTTAACAACTAAGTTCCTGATCCCAAATTTGGTTGCTAAACAAGGAGTCTCCTTACCGCTGCTCTTAAAGGCTCATGAACTGGGCGAGAGCATGAAGCAGATGTTAAGATGCTGTACAAAAAAGATTTCCAACAAATAACATCTTTTCGTCTGTTGTGCATTTTGTCATCTCAATTTTTTCCTCCTTGGGGATGGCAGTAGAGCTTCTTATTATATGTACTTTGTTCTTGTTGTTGTTTGTTTAGGGATGTGATAAAAAAGCAATGATCTGGGACATGCGGACCGGGCAGTGCATTCAGTCCTTCGAAACCCATGAGTCGGATATTAATGGTGTCAGGTGACAATCCTATTTTGAAAGGGTGTCTTGGGGCCTATTGACAAGAAAGGCTTTGTGGGTGGAGGGCAGTAGAGGGAGGGGGTGATGGGTTGGGCCTCTTGTGGCATCTCTTGGTCGCTCTACCATCCTCTGGACCCAACATGAAGAACTGTTGGGAAACGCCCAGCCAGGCAAAGAGGAGGGATCAAGCGGGGAAGTAGCCTTGAGTCATTGCACTGTCACAAGAGACATAGGGCGCTGACCTCTTTTAAGTTCCATGGGACCATAATTGTTTGTTCCCAAGAGAAGGCAAGCAGTCTGGGGAGATTTCTGTACTATGGGTAGAACACAATAAAGTAGTCAACTTGAACCTTTCACCTGGGGATCTGGTTGCTAGCTCCTGACAAGGACTGATCCAAATGATCTTGGTTTGCCGACTGTTGGTGAAAATCTGGATGTGAGTCAATACAAGAATCTCCCTTACCCAAACCATGTGGTCAGGGCCATCGCCTGGTGAGATCAAGGGAAAGTCCAAGGGCTCAGTTGTGTTTTGCAAGGATTCCCAAATATTGCTTCAAAAGTGTGCTGACCTCTTTTTCTTCCTCTTTGTGAAGATACTACCCAAGTGGAGACGCCTTTGCCTCTGGCTCAGATGATGCCACAGTATGTAGCATTATTTAATTTTGAGAGACACATGCCTTTCCCATGAATGAAGGCTGGGACCTAGATAGAGCCCCAGTGACTTATTGGGTGCAGCTTGTGAGTGACTGATTAAGTGCCATGAAGTGGCTATCAACTCTTAGCTACCATGTGTAAGACCATTTGTTGTCCCTCCAATGTGGGTTGAGAAGAGATGTTTGGTGGTGTTCAGAGAAATAACTTGTAGTTTGGGATGTTTGGTCGACTGGAATCCACACACATCCCAATGAAAGATCTAAAAGATCTCAAGAGTTGGGAGGGCACAGATGGGTTCCTATCAAGCCACACATTCTCATTAGTTGTGTATTACCCATCATTGCCAGTAGAGAAGAGAAGAACTAGTAGCCAGTCCTGTAAATAGTGTGAGACTCCCAATTCCTATCAACCTCAACCAAGCCAGCCAGTAGTTGGGAAAGATGAGAGTGTAAATTCCAGATCCTTTGAAGGACTTGAGATCTCATGTCTCTGTCTGACACCCAGTTCTTAGGTCAATGAATGTTCTTCTAAAATTTTCCCATTACCACCCCATGGATCTATAAGATCTAGACTTAAGGACGGACAGTCTTTGACTTGCAGATGTTGCTCTTACAACTTCCAGCATCCCCTTCTTACATTGGCTAAGACTTCTGGGAATTTAGTTCAAGATACAACGCATATGGTTATTTTCTTGGCCAGCTTACTTAAGGGATGCCGAATTTCTCTATCTCTGTCCTTGTTGAATCTCAACCAGGAAGACCTGAGTTTAAGATTCCTTTTTAGCCCTGAAATTTCTCCAGATCTTTTCATCCTCACTGCTCTTGCAGGGTTAATAAGGAATAATCCACACATATTTTGCCCTGGACTCCTGGAGGAAGCGAGACAAATCAATAAGCCAAAGAAATATCCTAAACAAATGAGTTGAGTGTAATCTCTACGAGCCAAACCACAGCTTTGGAATTTATGTGGGAGGAAAAAAAATTACAATGAGGTAGAAGAAGGATGGAATGTTATTGGAAGCTTATTTTAAATGTTATTTATTGGTTTGTTTCGGACATCCTGCCCCCATCTTTCCATGCCAAAAGATTATTCCAAGGTGGCGTAAAAATGCTGTCGCAAACAAAAATAAGCTAAAATAATAATCTCCCAAAGCAGCCAAGAAATCTTTAGTGAATGTGACTCAGGCAGTTGAATAGGGAAAAGGGGCCTTTGAAATAAATGCATCCTTGTACTTTCTAAAAGAAGATGTATTTTCTTGGGAAGCCACTTCATAATTTACCTGGTCAACCAAAAAGGTCAAGATGGGCTTTGATAAGGCAATCCATTAGTTGAGGTACCAAATGCTAGGTTTTCACAGCCCAGAATGTGCTTCCAACGCCAGTTTCTAATTTCAATTTCTCTTGGGCAACTTCCAGATGTGTGGCCTTCCGTTCCCAGAATTCCTTGGGCAGCGTGGCCATACATGAGAATTCTGGAGGTTGAGATCCCAACAGCTTGAAGAAAGACAGCTTAGGAAAGGTGACCCTAGAATGATCAAAGAAACTCATGGAATCCATGGGAGTTAAAACCCAGCGCATCTGGGCAACATTGAAGTAACTTATCGGTGCATAGGGCACAGTAATTCAGGTTTATGTAGGTTTGCTGGCATAGCTAAGATGAGCGGCGTGTTGGCTTAGTGGTGAAGACGCTCACCTCCCACTCAGAAGGTTGAGAGTTCAATCCTAGGTAGCGGCAGATGTTTCTCTCCTAGGGTACAAAGAAAATAACTGCTGCTGCATACTCCACGTGGTGTCAGGAAGGGCCTCAGGCCACTAAGTGCTCAGCTCCATCCAGTTGCCCTGAATTTACCCCTAATTATGGCATTACAGGGCCGTAAAGGAGTTTTACTGGCGTGGCCAGAATCTTGTGTATGATCATATCATTTAAAAATGCTCTAGATAATGAATTTTCTTTTTTTTCTTCCCTTCTTGAGTGCCGTTTATATGACCTCCGAGCGGACAGAGAGGTGGCTATTTATTCCAAAGAAAGCATCATCTTTGGGGCGTCCAGTGTGGATTTTTCTCTTAGTGGTGAGACGTGAACCCTGATGTATTTTCTTTGCTCGCGGAACTAACCAGGGGAAGAATTAAGGGTGGTCTTCCTCCAGTTTAGTTTGGCATAGATAGCAGCGAAGCAATTCCATCGGTGAAGTTAAACCCTTCCAGACCTTGAGATTTAAAACAGTTGCTCCTGGAGTTAGTCCTTCAACTCTAGGTGTGTTTCGGCTCTCTCAGTTAGAAAAAAATGTATGTGAAGTTAACTAAAGGTGTAGCATTTTCTTGATTTGAATTGCTCAAGGTGGAGTCCACAATTTTTCCTTCAGCCCAGTGAACTCACTCAGACAGGGGAGTGGGAAGAAGTTTATTACACTGAGGTAAAATCACAAAGTCATAAGATGGAAAAGTTGAGCTGAGAATTATATTTTTGTTGTGCTGACTGAAGATCAATTTTTTCCTTTAGAATTTTCACTGGTTTTCTTCTACTTATGAATCTGTTTGGAAACTTTGATTGATTGATTGATTGATTGATTGTGTCATCAGCATAATGCTGTGATTCAGAATAACAGCATAACAGAGTTGGAAGGGACCTTGGAGGTCTTCTAGTCCACCCCTCACTCCCACTAGGCAGGAAACCCTATACCATTTCAGACAAATGGCTGTCCAGTCTCTTCTTAAAAACCTCCAGTGTTGGAGCATCCACAACTTCTGAAGGCAAGCTGTTCCACTGGTTGATTGTTCTATCAGGAAACTTCTCCTTAGTTCTAGGTGGCTTCTCTCCTTGATTACTTTCCATCCGTTGCTTCTTGTCCTGCCCTCAGGTGCTTTGAAGAATAGGATGTCCCCCCCCTTCTTTGTGGCAGCCCCCCCAGATATTGGAACATTGCATATTGGAACCTGACCTGACCAGCAGGATTTTGTCCACAGGACGCTTATTATTTGCGGGCTACAATGACTACACCATAAACGTTTGGGATGTTCTGAAAGGATCGCGCGTCGCCATTTTGTTCGGTCACGAGAACCGCGTTAGCACTTTGAGGGTTTCGCCCGACGGGACTGCGTTTTGTTCTGGATCGTGGGATCACACTCTGAGGGTAAGGATGTTGTCCTTTTTTTCTTTAAATCCAAAGGAGAACCCCAGGAACGAAGCTAACCATTGTTTGATGTTTTTCTCCACAGATCTGGGCTTAAATAGCAGGGCGGTTTCCCAACATGTATTCACATAGGCATCATAGGATCACACACCCCACGGAACATCAATTTAATGGGGGGGGGGGAGAGGGTGAAATCTACCGCAAAGACTCTATCACGACCTTAAAGGGATGGTGAAAAGTTGGAAGAAGACACCTTGTTAGGCTTAATTGCACAGCTGCCCAACTCAAAGCTACTTCTAGATAGACAAATAAAAACATACCTTTATCATACACAGGGGCGGTGGGCGGAAGAGTTTTCGTGTGGCTATAGTCAGAACATGTTTTTAATTTTGTTTCTGAAACTTGCCTTTTTTTCCTTAGATAGAGGTGAAACATTCTAAAGCCAGACTTTGGGGGGAAAATCATAATTGGTTTAAGGGGATTTTAGCATTTTAAATCACAGCGTACGTGTCGTGTTTGCATGAAATGGTGTTCTTTTCTAAAGTCGACTTGGAATTAAATTAGAAACCAGTGTAGGGGATTGGTTGCTGTTTTGCTTTTGTTTTTTTTTTTTAAACCAGGGTATCTGAGGGTTTGTTTGCACATTCCATAATAGAAGCAGGAAGAGGAAGCAATTCCCTTTCCTTGCTCTTCAAGGTCTCAGGTGACAGAGAGAGAGAGACAGTGCTGTGTAATGGGTAGGAAGTTGCCCCGGGGGGGTGGATTCGAAGTCCCCACTCAGCCATGAAGCATACTGGGTGCCCGTGGCCTCAGTCACTATCTCTCAGCCTAGCCTACCTCATAAGATTGTTTTGTGGGAGGGAGAAAAAAAAACCAAGGTGCAGAGGACAAATTACACTGCCTTGATCATCTTGGGGGGTAAATTCGGGATAGAAACGGAGGCCGTAAAATGAATAGGAGTGAGTGCAAAGCTCTTTGGGTTGAGATCTGGTTGGGTGACAGGACATCTCCTGGTTAGTTGAGACCCCGCCTAAAAGATTGTGGGGAACAGATAACCTGGTGCAGGGGTCCCCAATCCCCGGTCCGTGGACCAGTACCAGGCCATACCACCTCGGCAACCTTAAGACGTGTTTCTGGTTTTCAACTCCCAGAATGCCCCAGCCAGCAACTTTTAAGACTTGTGGACTTCAACTCCCAGAATTCCTGAGCCAAGCTACTTTTAAGAGATGTGGACTTCAACTCCCAGCTGTGGACTTCAACTCCCAGCCAGGGAATTCTGGAAGTTGAAACCCACAAGTCTTAAAGTTGCCGAGGTTGAGCACCCCTGCCTTAAATCATGTGACGGCCGTGGCCAGGGGGGCTTTTCATCAGGCTCGCCTGATACGCCAGTTGCGCCCCTTTCTGGATCGGGACGCCCTACGCACAGTCACTCAAGCCCTCGTT